GCTGTTGCGTTGGGCGCGGCCGCCCAGTACAGTGCCGTGAGCGCCCTGGTGGCCACGCCCATGCAACCAGCCGCTGTGCCCGTCCAGGCATCGAAAGCTGCGCCCGCTAACAACACTAGCAGCAACACCAATGCCAACAGCAACAGCAATAGCAATAGCAACAGCAACACATCGACGGCACCCGCAACAGCAGCAGCAGCAGCAGCATCGGCAGCAGCAACAGCAACAGCAGCAACATCGTCACCACCCAGCGAAGTGTCGCCCAATCACATTGTCGAGGAGGTGGATACGGCGGCCTAAGGGCAGCACCACCATCGGCAGCGGCAGCGGCCACCACCAGCACCGCTGACCCTATCCTATTTTGTAGCATTTACTAGTTTACGCAGCAGCAACAAAGAGCGTCAAGCGGACGAGAGATGAAAATGAAGATGAAGTTGAAGATGAAGATGAAGTTGAAGATGAAGTTGAAGATATGAAGTTGAAGATATGAAGGACCAGTAGAAGCAGATGGGCAAACAAGAGAAACTAGAACCACAACTAAAGCTTATATTAATCTAGAGTTAGTGCATAACAACACCAATTCTAATGCTCCTTTGGTTTAACACCCAACCACCCACCCTCCTTTGCGTTGAGAATAGAAAGATAGACAGATAGAAGGACAGAAAGACGAAGGACAGAAAGACAGAAAGAGAGGGGAGTGGGGAGGGGGAGCGCCCAGAAGGTCGATAAGCTGTTAAATTAATTTTAAGACCCTACAACAACAACAACAACAACACACCCAAAACACTTCAGTCCAAGCCAATATACTTTGGACACACACACACGCACACAAACAAATGTGGAGTGGAATGAATCAGCTTCTGGAGGCGAAATCCTTTAATGTTTTGTAAATTAAATTTAGTGAAATTTTTTTGTGTGTGCACACCCAGGCGCAATCGCAAACGAACAGCCAAATCACCGGCAAATCGGAGAAGATGCAAAAAAACAAAATTTAAATAATAAAAAAAAAATGTAATAATGAAAATAATTAACGTAGAATTAAATGTAAAACGTACACACACAAACACACACACACACACACAGACTATGCTGAATGAATTGTAAGCCAAAGCGGTGGCAAATTTTGGTAATACTAAAACTGAACTTAGATTTATGTTTAGAAACACACCAAATCTAACACACACGATCACACACACACACCTGGCTTTGGCAGCTTTATGTTATGTTTAACCTGAACTTTAAATTTAACCGAGAGAAGGGCAGCGCAACTGCACCTGCGAATGCAAACGCAAATGCAAATGTAAATGCAAAACGGAAATGATGCGACTGCGATGTGGCGCTTTAACCTAATTTGCCTTATTAGAAAATCGTTTTTCACCAAAATTTTTTTTTTATATACTTACTTTATCACCATGAATGTGTTTCGAAACGCGCCGGGAAAGGAAAGACGAGCGACGAATTGAATTTTGTTCACCTACACCTATACTATTAAATTAGTTAGTAAGACTATGTTTTCTTTTCATTTTACAATTATCATTACACTACACGTATAATTACCGATTGGATTAGTTAAGTTGCGCAACAGCAGAAGCGCCTTGAGACGCAGCAAGCAGCAAGTAACGCTAACTTAGCTGTAGATTTATAATTTAAACACGAGCAATTACTTTTTTTGTCCCACACACACTATCATCCAATTCAAATAATGCAATTAGTTCTAGGCGAGTTAGACTTTTGAGTTGGTTTCATTTGTCTTTGCCTTGTGAGCGCCGCAACTACTTGATTTCAATAAATGTTTAGTAAATGGTTTAGTTAACTAGTTTTGTTTGTTTTTTATTTTCGTTGGATTTTTGGTTTCTTTGTTTATTTCAGCTTATTTTCGAGCTGCATCTTGTGCAATACACCTAGACAAAAACACACGCGTAAACGAATAAGCGATCAAACGAGCAAGTATTTTGATTTAATTGACTCTTAGAAATGATGTGCCAATTGCAAATACAAATATATATGTGGAAACCTAGTAAGAATTGTACATTATATATATATATATATATAAAACATATATCCTCCTCACATACACACACTCGACACGCGAGGAGTATCGAACTAATCGAAACTTTTTATCGAAAAAAAGAAGCAAATTGAAACACATACAAAGGCATCAAGAAATGTGTGTTTATAAGTAGTAATTATTAAGAGCTAAGTAAAAGTTATGTGCAATTTATACAAACTTCCGTTTCTGTTTCTATATAGTTTCTCTCCTATATCCCTATTTATATCTATATATATTCATAAAGCTTTCCATCTATCTCTACATAATGAAAACGATAGTTATATTAGCATTAGGAGGCACATAAGTTCGATGTACGATAAAAAATCTAGTAATAGGCTTAGACGAAAGATACCAAAAGGCAAAAGATATCGATAAGGAAAGCATAAGATATCGATAAAAAGGACAGACGATATCGATAAGGAAGGCAGATTAAGGCGGGTTAGGGAGATAAGAGAGCCGGAAAAGAGCAGTGGATTGTGAAAAATAGAAATGGGAAGAGGGAGATGAAGAGGAATAGGAAGAGGAATGGGTAGACGGAGGAACGCTGAGAAAGGACACTGATGGTCAAGGGCATTACTTTGGTTCAGATGGGATTCGGTTAGATTGATTGATTGATTCGGACTCGGTTGGATTATTTCAGCATATCTGCGTGATTTTCTAACAAGTACAAACACACAAACGATGAGATTTTTTACATATATAACATAGTTCAAATATTTACACAACACCCCTTTAATTCACTCGATAAGAAATTGAACCCGAAACATATGCGCAAAATTTGCTGAATACGAAAACGAAAAGAAAATAATTATAAAATCTATGGGAAAACAAATTTTGAATTGTAAATTAAATTAAATTTTTGTCGCATTTAATTTAAATAGTTCAAATTTATCCAAACGGAAGCCCCAAGTCCAAAATCTTCGTATATATACTCACACATATTCAAAAAAAAATGATATATACACATATATTTTTGAATTGACATTTTGCGTCTTATTTGTTAACATCTTAAATCTTAACAAAAAACAAAAACTAAATTAGCTAAATTATTACAGGCCCTTGAGCTGAGTAGCTGTTGAAAACATCCAACTGCAAATCGAAATGTTTCTCAACTCACGTTCCCCACAAAATTTTAAAACGAAAAAATGTATAAAACGATGTAGAAGATCCATGATACTGGTGAAAAGTTAAAATGGTAACCCATAGGCGTTAAGTGCGGGTTCGCATCGGGCGAACTTAGAGAAATTTTAATGCTTGATGAGAACTTTTGAATAAGCTTTAAGGTAAGGCACTGGTCTCTACTCAATATTGGTCTGTCCTTCCAGCAATGGGAGTTCTAAAATCTGGCCAAAGATCAGGCATTTGCAGTGTCAAAAGTTCGAAACCAAAGAAAGTTCAATCGACATGTACGATGACTTTGGAAAGCGGAAATGGCATCTCCATTTCTTTTTTTTTTTTTTTGGGAAAGTGCACATTAACACACACACGCATATAGAGAAAAACGTATGAATAAGAAGCAAAATTATTGGGAAACTTAACTTGTTTGTCCTAAAAATCCAGTTTTGATTGTTGTGTGTACTGATTTAATGACCGTGAACATATTACTTATATACACAAATATATATATAGATGCATATACATATAGATATACACACACTTTGCCATAGCCAAAATCGAAAGAATGAACTTGAAAAAGGAGCTGGGAATCAACTTCATACAATTGCATGTATAAAATGATACAAAGTAAGCAAATGAAAACAATGCAAGTAAAAGTATTCGTCAATAAACATTATTTCCAAACACAATAACCTAAAGGTCACCAGCGTATTAATGGGAAAATAAAGTTATTGGACATATTCTGAAACGACCTCGGGATGTTGTGGTCTTGATTGTCAAACATTGTAAGTATGCAATAATTATTAAAGATGTCCTCACGAAATAACTGTGTACAAATGCTCAATATCCGAGTTGGTATTTTTCAGTTTTTTTCAAACCAACATTTTTTGTGGCATACTTTTGGGCTAATCAATTTTGATATATGATGTTGTATATAATGTTTTTTATATCAAAGCCCTGGGAAGTAATTGCCAGAAGTTTGAATGTTAAAAATGTTTAACTTTAGCAAATTTTCGGAAAAAAAAAACACGTTGAGCCCCTTATAACGAAAACGAAAATTTGTCTTAAAACCGACCGAATATGAAAAGTATAGGTTGCCAGCTGCCTAAAACAGTCAGTCCTATGGGTGTGCGTCTTGTTTTGACCAAGTTACAACGAAAAGATTCTTTGGAAATGTTGGAATTTGTTAATTTCACAGCTACAATTTTTCTAGGTTTTCAAATGTTGACAAAAAATGATGATGTACCCCCTTATCAAAAATGCGAAAATTGGCTATAAAAATCGTTTTTTATTTCAAAACAAAATATTTTTTTTTGTAAATCGATTGGGATAGATTTAATAGGTCGCCAGCAGTACAAAAACACACAGAGTTATCGCTATGGTTGCCAGCTGCACAAAGCAGTCAGTCTTATGGGTGGGCCCCTTGTTTTGACCAAGTTAAAACAATAAAACTAATAAGAAACCTTTTTTTTTTTAATGTCAAGAAACCCAGAAAACCCTGGCAAGTAATAGTTTAATATATAGCATTTAGTAGTGTTTCTCGAAAAAGCTTTTAAACTTTCTGAAGAGCTTGTTCCTTTTTCTAAACCTGGATCAAAGCCTTAAAAATCAAAAGTTTCGTGCGGTTCGAAAAAATACTAAGATATATTTTTTTGTAAAGCTTTGAAACCCGTAGATGAATCGAACAAAAGCTTGCAACACGTTGCGTTGCACGGCAATGTTGCTAGCCGTGACGACAATGTTGCCGTTGAAGCAGCAATGTTGCTGCTGCTGTCGGTCTACGCCAGCAACATTTGGTGGGGCGCAGCCTCAGCGACGCCGTCAGTTGGCTCTTGACTCTCCCACGCTGCAGTCGGTGGTTCTGCCCGGATTCAGACCCGGAATCCGAAACGGCATCGGAATCGGAATCGGAATCTTGCCCGGATTGTGAAGCAGACTGAGAGAGGGTTCGGCACGTTTCCAAGTTTACACTTGCAGCAGCAGCAGCAGCAGCAGCAGCAACAGCAACAGCAGCAGCAGAACTAGTGGCAGCAAAAATCAACAAAATCAGCAAAGGCAACAAAGACGGTGGGCAAAAAAGCAAAAAGCAATCAGCAAACAGTCGGATGTAAAAAGGACTCGGAAAATAGGAAAATCGGGGTGCAAAAACGGGGGGACTGGACTGGACTCGATTGAAGGGCAGGCGTGTTGTTGTTGCTGCTGCTACTGTGGCTGGGAAATTTCTGTTGTGTTGTGTTGTGTTGTGTGGTGTTTTGTTTTCCCATTTCCCCTTTTTTTTTTTTTTTTTTGTTTTGTCAAGTATTTTTAGTGCTTGCGTGCGGAATTTTGTTGGTGTCAAAGTTAAACATTTTACGTGAGATGTAAGTTAGCAGAGCCTTGAAAATAGCAAAAATAGCCAAAAAAAAAAAAAAAAAAAGAAAAGGGAAAATCAATGCGCGTATGCGTGTACCCGTGTGAGTGTGTTTTTGTGTGTGCGAGTGTGTGTGAGCTTGAAAGAAGGAAAATCCATAAAACGGCGTTAAGTGAAACTCGAACTTGTCGTTTTCGTGGCCCAAACGCATGCAAATAATTTATATGATTCGAATTAAAGACATTCCATCTGCTTGTGTTTTTGGGTGTGTGCAATTTTCTGTTTTTGGCAACAGCAAATGGCCAAAATCCGTTCATCCGTGGCAGCAAAAAAAAAAAAAAACGAAAAGACAAAAAATAAACCAGCCAGAAGCTTTGTAAACAAGCCATTCGGCTGCCAAACAAGGAACCGCCGAACAGCTGATTCGACACCCAACGCACACCCCCTGAAAATGGCCACCACCCCCAAAATACACACACACACACACACACACACCAGAACACACACACACAGACATAAACTTACAAGCAGAGGTGGAATTGCTGCCAAAAACTGTCTGTCGACACAATGCAGAGAAACTTTTTGGCCACAACAGTGGGCAGAACTTAGAGACCTCCTTGCAGATACAATCTAAACACTAAAGCAATAGCCTCTCATTTTTCTTTCGAAATCTACTTAAAAAAAATTAATTTTTATGTTATTTTCTACAAGAACCTTTAATTAAATTAAAATTAGAATCTGAAAACTCAACATGATGTTTCTGGTAAAATTTTTAAAGCACTGAAAAATGAATAAGTGCATATCTAACCAAATTTAAATATCAAGTTTACTTAAAATTATAAATCAATTCTTTAATATTCGAAATCATCACACATAAGTTTTGGAAAAAACAAATTCTAAACTCGAAAAGGTTTCAAACTATTAACAGCAAATGTTTTGAAAAATAGGCATTGATATCTTTTTTTTCAATTTAAGGTAATCTTTCGGACGTTCTATTCTAATTATTTATTAAAAAAAGTTTTTTGTATAAATATTTTAGGACTAACTAGATTGGACCTAGATTGAACCTACCTTCAATTTAATGGTAGTGGCCTAGACACTGTAATTAATGAATTAAAAACTTAAAAATAGATGTCTCATCACAGATAAATGGATAGAACAGTTAAATTTACGTTTTTTAAAGTAAATGGGTAAAAAACAAGCACAACAATTTTTGTTTATTTAGTCGTATGTTTTATATTATTTAAACCTTCTTTCACTGTACCACTGTACAATAAATATAATTAATTATGTTACCAATAATAACTAAATACAAACACACACACACACTTATCTACAAACAGTGCAAGGACATGCGAAGAAGCAGCAGCAACTCAAAAAGTATAATTGCAGCAGCAATTGCAACACAAGAAGTAAAATAAGCAGCATAGCAGCAACAGCAACAGCAACAGCAACATTTGCTGCAAGTGCAGATACCACAGCCGTCGCCGCCGCCAAGTTCAAAATCAACGCCTGACAATGACAAAAGCAGCGACGTGGCGCCTACCAAGCCAAATTATAATAGCAGTAGGAGCAGCAGCAGGAGCAGCAGCAGGAGCAGCAGCAGCAGCAGCAACACCAATCAAACCAGCAGCAGCGGCACCAACAGCAACGCCAGCAACAGCAGCAACAACAAGGACAGCAGCAACATCAGGAGGAGCAGCAGCAACGGCAGCAACTGCAGCAACTAAAGCAATAACAATCAATGGGCCGCAAACGACAAGGCGACGTCAACGAGGCTGCACAACAGCAACACCAAACATGCAGCAGCAGCAGCAGCAGGAACAACAACAGCAGCAGCAGCAACAATCGTACTTGCAACGCCTGGGGGCGTGGCTGCCACCGATGACGTCGATGATGTGGCTTTGGCTGCCAACTTATCCAATCGCCCGGCTGCTTTTGGCCCTCTGCCTGCTGGGCTGCCTCAGCCCCTTTACAGGTAATTAGCATTTAATTCGTTGCCCCATGTCTTTCTTCGGAGTGATAGTATCTGGGAAATAATAGGCCCTAGGCTGGACCTCTCTAAACACAAAACCTTTAAGATCAATCTTTTGGATTCTTCAAGGGAAATTCTCGGATTATTTGAATAATTTTCCCAAACCTTTAAGAGATTGCAGAAATGAATCTACGGTGGTGCCTTAATCAAATTTTGATATTATTAAAACAAAGATTTACTAGGAATCTCTAAAAAATACCAGTACACCTACCTCTGTATAGTGCTTCTTAGTGACTTTTGCTTAGAGCTAAATTGGATTGAGAAATTGGCGTTTGAAATTGTTATTTTACTTAAAGTTTGTTTCACTGAAGAAATAATATTCTATTTTAATAAAAAAAAAAAACTTTGCCACACTCTGAAGCTTGTTATCACAATCGAAAAGATGTCTTAATTATTAGCCACAAAAATTTGAAAATGTTTTTTTAAGATTAAGATCTTTGGAGATTCAAAAAATAATCTTCAACAATTCCATTAAAAAGAGATATATTACAAAATATCAATATAAGGTATCTCAAAACATTTGATCAGATAATAATAATATAATTTTATCATATCTGAGATAAATAATATCAAAAGCAACTAAGGTCCAACCTAATAGCCGTATTCATTTGCATTTTCTCATTAGCAGCATTTCTTTGTCAGCACCTCAATCGAAACAATTTTAATGCGCTCTAATGATGCGATTATCCAGAATAAAATTGCGATCTGAAATGTTTCACAGAAAATGAATTTTGTGGTATAACATAGCAATGTCAGCGTGCCTTGGTTTGATACTTTCTGGTGCTTTGTTCTTTGGCGAAATTTACATATACCGAAGGTTGCAAACACCAAGCCAACACTCCACTTTCTAAGGCGCCAGTGAGTCGGCCATAAATCTGCCTATTACAGTGAATATTCCCAAAGAGTTCCCCAGATATTTAAAATCAATAACTTAGCTACGCAAATGTAAGCGTATTAGGACATTTGTTAAGTGCAGGCAAAGCCATTATTTTGTTTAAATAAATTCTCACAAGGAAATCTCAAGAGGTTTAAATTTAATTATTTATCTGTCCAAAAGAACGGAAGCAAGGTCATGTGTTAACTGCTAACAAAATTTAGCTGCCATATACAAATTATAATTTTAAAAGCAGTCAATCCATAATTTATCTCGCCAAAAATAGACAAAGTAATAATTCAGATTCATTCGCAAGCAAAGTCCCAAAAGAAAACCTTGAGCTTGAAATCAATATACATTTGGTTGCCAAAATAATAGGAATGACAGTAGTGTGGGTATTTTTTCATTCTGAGATTTTTCAATAAATCGAATGTTTACTGTGTCTTACCTTGCCAGTGCTCAATCAAATTTGATGATTCTGTTTTCCTTTTATGTGCCAGTCGGAGTCGAGCCATAAACAATTGCCAGCAAAATGGGAAAAGTCTTGAGATTCTCAAAAAAAGGGTAAAACAGCAGTGAACAAAAAATTGAAGCAACATCAAAAAATAGTATTTAAAATATATTTAAATATAAAAATAAATAGAAATTCAATGATAAGATTTATAACTAATTAAGAAACATTATACAATTCATTAATTTAATTTGCCTCCAATGCGAAATTCATTCGAATACATTTTTAAAATTATTTAAGACAAACGTATAACAAAACTAAAGGGTATTAAGACTTTTAAGAATTGTTTTTGCTAATTTATAGAACAATTATTTTGCTTCATAATTTTTCGTAACAACTTGATGGGCTTTTTTTTTTTCTATTGAGCAGTTTGAGTTGTTAGTAAGTTGGATACAACCTTGACTTTGCACATGCAACGTACACGACTGATTTAACCCTGTTTTTCCACCCAATCCCCTACCCATTTTGGTAACACAAATTTGAATGTTAGAACAAAAACCCAGAAGCATAGAAGAAACTGGAACATGTGAGCGGCACTTGAGTGCTGATGATTCATCACAAGTAAGATGGATATCGAACAATATCCTCCATCAATCTTTGGGCATTCAATGCCATTCTATAGCATACTTAGTGGCGCTGGGGTCTAAGTAGTTGCATGCTGTCTTTTGTGGGAACCAGTGGGTTAAGTGCTGGCCCAAAGCAGTGATGGAAAGTCCAGACTTAAAAAGGCAGGAATTAAGAGAATTTAATTTCCTTTAAAGCTTTACGATAATTCGGCAAAAATGTTGGCTATCGAAAATAACTATAATTACCAGAATTTAAAATATCCCAAGTTTTGTATTTTTTTTTAAATGTTGCTAATATTATCATCGAAACGACATATTATTAATATTTTCGATAGTATCAGAAATAAATTCATTATCTTGCCTAGAGAAAAATAACCCCAAATGATATCGAAATTTTATTATCGAAGTATCGATACATTAATATCTTTACCACCGAATAAAAAAGGCATATCTCTCACCACTAAAGCTGGGCATTAGGTTATATAAAATGCCCGGATCGATGGTGGAGCGTTGCGTTTCAGCTAATTACATTGTCCGGGGCACCCGCTCGTTTCCACATTAGTTTTGTGATGGTGTATGGGGATGGTGGTGCAATCAATCGACCGTTGAGTGGTGACAAGAGTTGGGTGCACCATTCGAGATGCCATCGCCAACGGGTGATTATGGTCAACGATGCAATCGGATGGGCAATCGATTCGTTCAACGGCTTATCTGGGCCTAAATCGTTCAGTCAGGGTCATACAAAGGCCCTCTTGGCTTTTTAAATCTCCTGGCACTCATTGTAAACACACAAGTGTCTTCTTAATAAAAAGCGGAACAAAAAATTCATATACTTTCAATACACAATATTATACACCTGACATTTAATATAGCTAATTCACATTTCTATTGAGTTGTTGACCTTCTAACATGCCTATTTTTAATTACGACAAACCCAATTGTTAGTTATAAGTCAACTAAAAACTTTAAATTTAATTTTTAACTCGATTCTAACAGCACACGTGCCGCAATTTTAAACTTTGACTACTCTTGGCCCATTACGCATACGACACGTTGACAGGCACCAAAATCCAGAGGCAAGAGCCGAAAGTGACATTACGGAAGGGGAAATGTGTAGGCAAGTGAAAGGTGAAGGTAAAGGCAAAGGCAAAGGAAGGCAACGACGTGACCGGGCTAATTACACTGCACCATAGCATTCAAAATGGTTTAACAATCTTCGCTTCCGTAAGCAATTCGCCAGTCGAAACTTGGGCCAAAACAAATGTCCACAAATGTTTCGACCGTCTTTCACGAGCTTTTCCATTTGCCCGCACTTGGAAAAGTCTTATTGGTGACGGCCATTGATTGGCAATACGAAAGCAAATCATACAACAAAACAAAACATTTACAAATGAAAAAGAAATAATAATATTTTTAGCTCTAATATATCTTATTTTCATTTATTGCTCTAATTTAATGAAATATCGAAATCAGAGAGCAAGGTTAATATTCCCTTGTGCTGAGGCTTTAAACATTAACTTTTTCTGAAATTAGGTCGATTTTTTAACATGTAACTGTATATTTGTTATCAAAAATTAAATCCCTGCTTCTATTTGAATCGTATATCATTCGTGAACCCAATCAACCATAAATTGCAACATGCATTGAATTCTCTCGTGTGTTTTCATACCCTTATATTATTAAATATTAAACACGAAATTCAATTAAAAAAAAAATAAAGTTTACTTCTACATAATGTATGTTTTTACTGTGCGAATGAGTGGCGATTGAGAGCCGTAAAGCAGGCAGCAAAAGTGGAAAACTTGATGGCTGCACTCACTCAACGATTCCACCGTGACCCTGCCACTTTGCCACCCCCTTCCCCTTCCCCTCTCCTTCCCTTCCCTTTCGGCTTTCTCCCGGCTTTCCACCAACTTTCCCCCGGCTTTCAGTGCTTTTCCCCCGCTTAGGCATTTATAAACTGCTTCGACACAAGGCTGCAACTGTGGCAGTGCATTTCATTCAATTTTTTTTTTTCCTGGAAAGAGACTCATTGTTGTTGGCCAGCCAATGTTTTGAATTGGCCACAAGTGCGAAAAGCGGAAAATCTCTTTAGCATTCTGCTTGTCAAGTTCGGGAAAGTGGCGTGTGGCGTTCGACATTGAAAGTTAGCTTCCCACATTTTCGCTGCAAATTGATTAAGGTTTAAATGACAACTTTTATTAAAAGAACTGCATTTCGAATTATTTTGACATAAATATTTAATGGACTTTTCTACTAACATTTGAAGTCACTAGAAGTAATTTTACAATTTTAACATGATAAATAAGAGTAACAGGATTTAATTGTAGACAAAGAAACTAATTAAAAACGTTAATTTCAGACAATGAAAAGTTTTAATGCTCTAAAATGCATCATTTTTTTATATTTATTCAAATAGAAAAGATTAAAATAAGACTCAAAAGACAAAAAGTCAAGCTTATTTTAATGAACTAAAAACTAAATAAATCACTTGCTTATCATCTGTTGTAAATGGTTTTAAATAAAATAACAAAAAAAAACCTGAACATAAATGTTTTTTTTTTCCTCCATTGAATTAAAATAGAAAATAAATTAAATCAAATTGAGATTAGACACATAAACTGTCATAGCAATTCAAGTGAAAACATAAATTACCATCAAAACGAAACGAAATGAAAGCAAAATTGTATTGACAGATAAACATGCATTTATATTTTTATCTATTTACATATACAATTGTCAGACGAGGCCAAAGTCAATTGAGCCAAAGCGTATAAATCAAACTCAATTGCAGGGCAATTGAAAGTAAATTGTGAATTGTGCATTGAGTGCACTCATTTTGATCTCCCTCAATTTACTCGGCTCCTTTTCGAAGCGTAATTATTTCAAATGGCCGTAAAACACACACACTAAGTGCACTGCTAATTTTCTAATTGCAAAATGTCACGAAGTTTCGAGCTGCACAATTAGTGTGGAAATGGAAACTGCATTTAAAGAGTCGAGCATTGATTTTCCCTGAAAATAGAACAAAGGACAAAGGACCAATTTAAACGCATTTCAGATGAATTCCCCTGTCCAAAGGGAAAACCAAAAAAAAAACCATCACTTACTCGAAAAGGATGTGTTTGTGAAGAGCTGGAGAGGCGCCTTGCGAAATGTCACAACAAAAGCTATTTATAAGTGAGTCGCGACCCTGGACGCACCAAAAAAAAAAAAACCCCCTGAAAATCCCCCCCCAAAAACCCCATGTCCGTCGACCGGATTCTCAACACTCGGGTCAGGTGGAAATGAAAACGACAGGCATTAAAAAGTAATAAACATAATTGTAAATAATACTACCATGAAATGCATTTTGCAGTATAAAAGACGACCAGAGCACTTTAAAAAATTAAACAAATTGACAGGCTTAAAACCAGAAAAAATAATTTAAATTTAAAAATTTGTGCCCTTAGTTAAAAAATGTTATATAGAGGTATTTAATTATTTACGACTTAAAAATCTTGGAATTTAATTACCATTCAACAATATAAAATTAAAAAATCTTAACTTTAAACAGATTAATACAATTCTTTATGTTTTATTTTTGAACTAAATGCATTAATTTTGTGTAATTTAATAATTTAAATTTTAAAGAAGATTTCCCTTGCCTTTAAAAACGATCAATTTTGTACAACTTTTTCTCAATCAAATCAGTGTTCTATAATTTTGTTTATCAACTAATTTTTAATTGGAAATTAAACGCCTTTTGTTTTTATATCGCATTAATTTTCTTTGCCACATTATATATACGCACACTTTTGCCTCAGTGTGAGGTATCCACAAATAAGGGCGAAGGTTAAACAGGCGGTGGGTGAAAGTGGGGCGTTGGGTGGTTGGACTGATGGCTGATGGCTGGAGGGGGTGGGGGTGGGGGGTGGAGGGGTGTCCTGCTAAACTTTGACCCAGGACACAGCTAAATTGTTTGGGCGACAGCTGGCGCACGAAAGTTGAATGCTTGCTTTTAATTATTCAGCGATCTTAAAACGAGGACTGCAGCGAATGAAAGTGTAAGGTGAGAAAAGATGAAAGAAAATAAGGAAAACTGAGAAAAAGAGAAGGCGGACTAAGAAAGCGGAGAAAACCCGGCACAAAATGTATAAAGGACGAAAAGCACGTGCTCCTGCGAATGTTGGCTGCAATGGCGGAAAATCGTGGTAAACAGCAGAAGAAGGGCGAAATTGCGAAAAGGGCAAACAAATAAAGTGAACGGACAACTGCAGCTTCCGCCCAAATGGCCCAAATGGCGCCTCCCCCCAATTCAGAAGGCTGCAACTCCCAAAAAGTGAAAAGAAAACTGGCAAAACAGCGAAAGAACAAAATTGTCTGCCAACAAATACACTGCAAGAAATATTTTAAATTCAAAAATAAATGTTTCGTCGTTTTACAAATTTTATGAGAAGCTAATAGCAAACAAATTAAATTACAGATATATTACATTTTTTCAAAGAACATAAAAAAAATGTTTACAGAAGATATATATGTTTTTTTTTAATATCAAATTTTTTATATTGAATGAAGCGGTATTTTTTTTTTTGCAAAAGTTCGGTGCTATTAAAACATCAACTAGTTTTCCCTTAGTCGCACTTAGTTGTCCTTCTTTTAATTTAAGCAAATGTAATTTGTTCTCTAACGATTTCCTATAATTCCCAAGTGCCTTTTGTTATAGACTAACAGCTTAGGAAATTAATTTGCCACATATTGTATTGTGGCACACCAGTTTGTTTTCGGTGTATCACGGTACCCATTAAAGACCGCATCCGCATTTCGTAGTCTTTTGCTCGAACTCGGACCTTCGAACCTGCAACAAATGCCCACGTCACTGGCAACATTTCGACGATGTTTGCCGAAATGTTGCAGAGCTTTTTGAGTCTTCGGCGGAAAGCTAAGCAAATGCCCATCCCCCGGAGCACCCCGTTGACCCCATCCTTCACGAATCTTCCAGCTGTCTGTCCCCACACATTTTCAACTGTCAGTGGCACTATCCTACTATTGCACCCCTTCAAAATTGTGTTCTAACATGGGAAATTTATTCTCCAAATAAATAAGGTGTACATTTTTCAAAACTAAGCTACCAATTTCTCCCGACTTTAAAAATAATTTTAGTCTGTAACAACTGTCATCTTTAACCTTCGTTAACCCAATTAAATGTTTATTATTGTTTCCTTATGGGGAGTTTTTAGCTATTTACCTTGCTATTGCAGACAAAAATGTTGTTTTTTATAATTTCAACAAGGTTTACTGGCAAATTTATAGCTAAAAACTATTTTTAGCTTTTTTTATATAATTCTTAGGCTGTTTTTAATTATATTTTCTCTTTAATTTTATGGCCAGCAGAAATAAACACCAACATTTTCGTATAACTTTGGTTAATAAAGTAGGCATTTTAAGGGAAAATTTTTACCAAAACGTTATGTAACTTCTTCCACATTAATTCATTCATAAATTTCCTATAAAATTAATGAAAATCAGTCGAATCAAATCGCAAACGGCGCAAAACACGTATTATCTGGCTTTCGATTATCTGGCTTTCGACTCGGCATATGACCTCGGTTCACTTAAATTGATAGTCGCTGATCCGGAGATCAAGCGCCGGACTGTCCGGATTAAAGTGGAGCATTGTAGCATTTACCAGGGCGCCCACATTTGCCTAATCAAAAAACAAGAAAAATCACTTGGTTATTCAATTGCGGCTTCATTCAAAATACTCAAGTCATTTTGATGGGATTGTTTTTTGATTTTTCAGCTGCACTCGAGGAGGACTGCGTAGACTTTCAGGGCAACAAGGTGAACCACGGAATGCTGTACGTGCCCGGACCCGGAGTTTGTAGCCTCTGCGTTTGCTATCACTCCGAACCACTCTGGTGCAAGGCCATCTACTGTGATCCGCCCTACGTGAGTGCCCACGTTTAAAGTCTTATTCTAAATTGCAATAAATCAGTTATTATAAACAAAGATTCGAAACCGCTTTATATTAAATCGAAAAGCTCAAGACAAATCGATATTTACATATTTCTAAAAATATATAAATATATATAAAATTTTTAAACATTTAATATATTATATATTAAAAAAAAAATAAATTATATTGTAACAAACAAACCAAAAGGAGATTTAAACATGATTATGATCAAATAAAATATGATCTAAAAATCATATGTATACATTGTTAATTTAACTTTAAATTCCTCATATTTTTTTAAAAATCTGAACAAAATGTTATATTTTAAAAAAATGAAGATATAACTGTCTAAACGTTATTTATTTAATATCTCGAATTCTGTCTGTACCAATTTGGAACGTTCATTTATCTCGTTTTTCAGTCAATAGATTAGTTTATGTTTTCTGTACAAACTAATTTTATTATATAAGTAATGGGTGCGTCAGAGGCTATAAAAGGTAGTAAAAGTGGGTTATTTGATTTGTCCAAACATTAAACTTCAAATATCATTATGTGTTTGAAGTGAAATTTGGAACGAATATAGTTTATTTTATTTATTTACAATTTCCAGAATTTTGAATTTTCTACTAATACAAATTTCATTCTCCCATTTAGTTTTGCAAAAACTTTCGGGTCGGCGAACGTTGCTGTGAGTTCGAATGCTTGGATCCGCCTGGCGAGGACAAACTGTACCAGGTGAGTAATCCCTGGGGTATCTGAATTTTGTAGTATTTTTAAAAAAATATATGTTTTCTAATCTCTCGATAGGAACGAATGCGAAAGAGGGCCGAGATATTGGCCGGGAACAGTACAGCCTCGAATGTGCAACTCGCCCCGATAGCCATGTCCACCATAATGCTGGGATTCCTGGGCAACAGCTTCATGAACTTATAACTTGATGTCAAATAGCTAGAGATGGAGATGAATTTATGGCGATGCTAAGCGAAGCGAAATCAGAACCTCATCATTTTTTGTTGCTCCTAAGGTGTAGGACTCTCTTGAAAATTATTACAGTGTAATAAGCAAAAAACCCAGATTTGTCTGAGCATTAACTTTAGAGGAAGCAAAATGCATCGTGTCATCGATGCGTAGGTTTTCACTTATATATCCCCAGACTTATAATAGGTACAATAACAATTTCAAAAGGACATGGAACAGGAAAAGTTGGGATATGGAAAATACCCCTCAATAGCAACAGAAACATTTTAGAATACTTTCAATGTGATCGGAATCGAATCGGTATAGCCAGCAGATATATAGCATAAACATTTACATCTACCTAAGTATATAATGAGTAAGCAACACCAAGAAACCAGAACAAACTCATCAAGCGAACGTATAAGACAGTCTCTAGCTCCTAAGACTCTATAGTAAATATAGACAAAAAAAATATATATATATATATATATATACATATATATGTAAGCATATATTGTACATAAGAGTGTCTAGCTCTTTGTACCGGATCAAAAATTGTTAATTAGTGTTTAGCTAACTGAATGAAGGCAACTTCGGCTAGGAAGATAGGTTTTTTTTAATCCAATTGAAATGTTCACACAATACACCACATATTTCACCACATTAGACCCTGCTCCTAAGTTTTTTGTTTCGTCTTAAACTGACAAATGTATAATCTTTTGATCCTATTTCTAAATATGAAATTTGGTCTCAAAATTAATGCAACGATAAGTTCAATCCGCACTTCATGAAATATGTTTTCATATCACAAATTTTTAATCTGAAATCGATTTGCTTATCGTTTGAAATGATATCGATAGCATTGTTATTTTTCTTTGAACTATTACTTACTATTGATGGATCTGTTTTTTAAATTACCACCTGACACGTTAAATATATATGTACGTTTAAGGGCAGTTCGATGTAAAATCTCGATCTTAGAAAACAGTAGTAAATTACACATATCTTGGCAACATTTTATTCAAAATATTATAACAGACACGGACACGAATAAAATCATTATCTCTTGCATTGGTGCTAATTTTATCGTAGGCTAAAATAATTACAAAAACACACACACACACACACACACACTCCTTACTTCGCACATCACACACGAATCATATTGAATCTAATTCTATATATCAATTAGGTAATGTAATCAAGAGCAAAAAAAAAGGCCTAGCATATACGAGTAGTTAACCAATTAAAAACCCCATATTGTGTGTAAGAAAAATTGCCTAAGGTAATACCCGTTAACGATCTAATAATAATGACTAATGAAAACTAACTCTTATGTTCACTCGCTCGTTAGGTTTTACATTTCCCATTTGGATAAATCAATTGCATAATCAGCGAAGAGCGAAAAAACGTTCGGCAAAGCTTAGTAGATATGTAGGAAAAATAAAATCCCTTGAAGAAGAATAGATCTCGTTTCAACTTTAGGCTAATGACTCTGAAGCCATCTCCGTCTCTTTCTATTTATATAGTAATCTATTATTGTAGCAAATAAATCTAGAGATATAGCAGGACCAGCAACCAAACAAAACATTACATTTAAATAGAAACGATACAAAAAAAAATCAATATGCGAAAAGTTGGTCAAATTTTTTTCACTTGACAGCACATCAAAGCAAAATACAATTAACAATAAAAATAAATATAAAATGCGGTAATATCCGAGAGTGTGGAGTACGGCTGTGAAATTATGTTTGCTTTAAAATGCATAAGCGCAACTGTAAATAATAAATGTTTACTAAAGTATATACGCCATAATATGGTACAACTATTCAGATCAAGCAGAAAGTTCGAGGAAAGCGAAATGAAGCTCAGAGAGTAGGAGGAAAATGAAGAAGAAAATAACTAATTAACTGAATGTACAATTCAATATGCCACAACATTTGACCAATTATGATCCATAACAGAAATTATATATATATACAAAAAATATATATATACATACATCAATCCAAATATCTGATAAGACAAATGACAAATTTTAATTAAACAAGAAGAACAGGAAGGATAGCGAGAAGGGCAGATTCGAAGCGCGCTTAACAAATTTTATCATAGACTCAACTAACAAATGCAAATTGGCTTTAATTAACAACTTAATAAAGAACAAATCACACGAATAATATCTAAAGATAATATTTCGAAAACATATTTCATTTGTTTTTATTGATTTTAGTTATAGATAGCAGTGTTGTGAAACAACCGAAACATTTTTTTCCTAGCTTAAGCGCTTTGCCATTAACCGTAACCCAAAGATCCCTAAAAAAAAAAAATGTTTTTATAACCGAAATGAACTATGGGCAGGATATGAAGCTCCTTGGATTTCGATATCTGAAATGATACAAATTGATTAAATCGCAATTAGAATTTTAAAAACATTCTGTGTTAAACACAATTTACGCAATTAAAGGGAATTCACTTTTTGAGGGAATTTCTGAAGTTTAAAATATTTTCTAGTATTCTTCGAAATAAACGCTAATATTTCACGTTAATAAATAGGCAAACTGTTTCAACAGCGGGAATATGAAAAAGATAGAAAATCGCAGTAAAACGAAAGAGATAGCGTAAACATATAATTCATTGGGCTATATATCCTGCCATTTGGACTGGCAATTATAAAAATTTATTATTGATATAAATTATAATAGAGCAGGAAATATTTTACAATTATTAAACCTTACCAACCAAAATCCAAATCGACAAGCAAACTATTAAACTTGACAATTTTTAATGTAATCCAAAATAATGTTATAACGGGATCGTCTAATGGAAAATCTTTAACAAACTAAAAATATTATTAATTAATACCAAAAACAATGAAACAAATGTCATAAAATGTTTAACGATAATTTAGCAAAAGAGGCAAATCCAAAATCATGTATGCATACTTTATAATAATACTAATTCTAAATACCAGAAAAATTTTAACAAAAATATACAAATATTTTCACAATAGCTTAAACAACACGTGTATCATTTTTGGGAGGGTTGTGTATTGTTTTTTTTTTCTTTTGGTAATTTAATTTGTATTGTTAAATACAAATATTAATTTAAAAATTAATATTATATTATTAAAAGTTTTTATAAATAATTTTTTAAATCGGTTGCTTATTTGTGACGATGGCCAGCAATCACCATTGTAAGAAACCATTCATTTAAACTTACCGGGTGATTAAAACACCGTAGCAATACAAGTATAGTTTAATCACATTGCATTTAGACTGATCGATACCGCTACCCAGGGGTCAATGGACAATGCCCCCATCGAAGGTGAAAGCCTCTTATCGGATTGATCAACAGAAATAGATTACCTTGATAGCCAGTTAAAATTGGTCCAATCAAAGGTTGCATAAGAAAATAAACGATTAGATTAAACTCGTGTGTGCATTATGTTCTTAAATTTGTCGGCACCATTGATTTTAAAATTTAGTGGGCGCCTCTGTTGCGGCTAATAAATTCGGACAGGAAGCTATAAATCAGACCGATAAGCTGAACCTTTCAAGGTCATGTGTATGTCGTCCGAAAAGGGTCACCTAAATTCTCATATGATAGATTAACTTCCATAAAAAAATATATATATTACAAAACAATATTTCGATAACAAAAAAAAGTACTAGACATCGGTTAATATTACTCTGTTATTCAATTTGACCTTTGCACATTTATTAAGAGACGGTAAGTATATTTAAAAATACCTTGTTTTATTAATTTTAATCTCAGAGGTAACATTTCTTGACAGTCTGAGAAAACCACTTAAAGATATGAATGGCATGGGGAAATCTCAACCTTTCGTTGGAGGCCAACTAAACAAACCAGACCGCCCAAACAAACAAACGAACAATTCATAAACATATATTTGAAAAAAAATATTTATTATACTTGTATTTAGTAGTTTCCTTCGTTTTCGTCCTCTTATCGCTTTTGATTTGTCTTTAAATTAAACCGCATCGTATTTACAAAGTTAAGTTAACACTTTACCAAACAGATGGTATACAATTCACAATATGTTTGAATACAATACATAAATAGGTGTTAGTTTTAAGATCCCTTAAATTCCTTAGATGCCATGAGGTGTTACAAAATACAAAGTAAACAAATCGAATCCGAACTTGATTTAATTCCAAGAGGAAAGGATTTGCTTTAAATGGGTGCCCTAACCTAGTTAGGGAATGTCTAGTAAATAAAATACGTATGGTTTTAAAATAACGCGGTAAACTGCATGCAAGTTGGTCGATTGTAAAAAACAACCAGATTTCGGCCTCCACATGTAATGTCATTTTGCAATGTTTGTCATCCACAGTTTATGTTTAGATAATATTATTTTTTTTATTTTGTATAATTAGGTATTTGGTTTAATTATCTAACAATTACACGCGGCAACAGGAAGGACAGATCGAAAGGGATCTAATGCTCTAAACTAATAGAATTATACCAAAGATTTATTACACTTGCAGCTATACTTTGTAGAGACCAATTCAGATTTTATATCATTTGGTATAATCAAATCACTTCGAGTCCTGTTGCAAAGTGTAGGTTAGTTAGTTTTATAGTTTTTTTGGTTTTTTTTTTTTTTGTATTTGTTCAGTGTTTTTGGTATGTGTTGCCTAAGAAGACGTTAAAGTTTGACAGTCGAGGGTCGCAATTTGATTGTTGCTGTTCGTAATACTCATTTTGGTGCCTGAATTAGTCAAACTATTTGGATGTCAGTTGCTTCTTGATTCAAGCCAAAGATATGACGTTAGCTGTTAAAATACACTTTTCTTAATTACTTAGATGAAAAACAAACTGTTATTCAAGTGCTGAAATCTACAAAATGATGCTCAATTACAGGCAGAAATGAGTTATTAATGTTAAATTGCAAAGTGTTTCGATAAAGCAAGCTGAATAAAGCTGAAAAGAGTGTGTTAAATTACTGAAATGTAAAGAACTTTTTAATAATAGGCCTATTTGGGCTTTAAATATCTTACCGTTAGATGAAGTTAAATGGTCATAGATAACTACTGTTGTAAAAACAAAAATGGTTTAGAAAGCTATGTTTTATCTACTTTCAGTGGGGATCTATAAAAAAAGTAAGCAAGACATTTTTCAGGTTTTACTTTTCCAGATTTAAATAAACTTTTTCTATCTGAATCACTTAAACTTTAAATGAAAATTTTAAACATATTGATCAACAATTATAATACCACATGTAAAGTAAAAAAAATAGCTTACTGATTGCTAAAAATGTAGGTATTAATTTACAATTTAGAAATAAACATAAGACTTAAAAAAAAAAAAAATTGACTAAATTTGAACTTCATTAGCTAAAACAACATAAAATACTGTAGGTGCAAGAAAATTGCCAAAACTATAGATTTTATATTGAAATCCCAAATAGGCCTATAAATCGGGTTGTATACGGTGCAGCGGTTGCATATATTACAAGGCTGCCACTGCCACTGACTTGTTAACTTAATGGCGCCCAATAAGGTTTGTTCTTTTTTTTTTTTTTTTTTTTTTTTTTTTTTTTTTTTTGTTTTTTGGGATATGAGTGTGTGGTGTGTGTTTAATTACTACATTGCCTACAGTGTCTTGAGCAAACTGGCCTTGGCGGCGGCACCGGCTCCGGAAGCCGTCGGCTGGCCGTAAGCGGAATTGCTGCTGGCCACAGCAGCGGCGGCGGCCACCGCGGCATCCGGACCAGATGAGTTCGATGTGGAGGCAGAGGAGGCTACCGAAACAGTAATGCCTCCCTTCAGCACCGGCTTGTACCGTTGCAGCGCCTCCGCGGACGTTTGCTTAAAGGTTTCACTCATCTGGGAGCGTACCCGGTCCATCAGCACATCGATGTCGTCCTTTGTGAGACCTTCGGTGCTTACCGGTGGCAGGGTGGTGATCACAATTCGACCCGCATTCAGGATCTTCTTCTTGTCGTCGAGGAATGTACAGTACGAGGAGAAGACCACCGGCAAGATGGGTATCTGCTGGTCGATGGCCATGTGAAAGGCGCCCTTCTTGAACGGATGCAGTTCGCCCGTGTTGCGACGCGTTCCCTCCGGGAAAACCCACAGTTTGATGCGTTGCTTCTTGATCCGCCGGTTCACATCGTTCAGCGTTTCGCGCGCCTTCTCGCCGCGCACTCGATCGATGAAGATCAGACCGGCCAGCCAGGCGGCCAAGCCAAAGGGCCAGGCGTAGAACAGTTCCCGTTTGGCCACCACCGTGCACTTGTTCATCACATGCCAGATGTCGAACATGCCTGCAAATATAATGAACGAATATTGCAAAAGTTATAATATGTTGCGAGCATTTTAAGTACATTAAAAGAAATCCTACGAGTGAAATTTAATAAAAAGAATAGAAACCAACAAAAATTACTTTTATTATTAATCATTTTTATAACTTATGTATTCGATATTCTGGTTTAAGTGACCTTAAGTTAAATCTGCTTGTAACCTAAGTATTCATAACTTGGAATATAACTAAAGCTCAGTTTAATCTGCTCAGATTCGAAATGCAAAACTCTTACTCAATTTCGTAGTATTTTTCAAAGATTTTTCAAAGATTTATCAAAGATTTCACTCGTGTAAAGCCCAAATTATTACCCAGTACATCCAGCGAACTCTGGTGGTTGGCCACAATTATGCAGGCCTGATCCTTGGCCAAATGCTCTTTGCCACGCAGCTCCCAGCGCAGTCCGATTAATGTCGAAACGCGGTGACACCAGGTGCTCGCCCACCTGCAAAGAATATATACCAATAAATACATTAAAACTTTATGAAAATTACATTATAGAATACAAAATTCTGTATCCGAATCTAACTAAGATTTTTGTTTGACAAATATTAGTTATGGCATTTCGACTGTTTAAATAATATAAGTAATACATATTATTAAAGGATGTTCTGGTAACACCATTCATATGCCATGAAATATTTAATACCGAGAACATCTGCCAAAGTTATTTCAGTAAACACATTTTACGACCTTCTAAAACTCTGTCAACAAAGTGGCCATGAAAAATCTCTTTTAAATTAAACCAAAATTCTATACTATCTCAGTTTGAAAGCAATTTTTGTGTAGTTGAAAAACTTTATCTTACTGCGTAAGTACGTCATCCCCGACAAAAGTTCACAAAACATTTCCTATACCGATTATAAGCCGTAATGAATTGAACCGAAAACAAAGACAATTGTATATCCAATATTATTTAATCAAGTTGACAGCCATCGAAGCGTAACTCTGATTTTTCCACCGTCCAAAGGAAGGTGTCACCCATACCCATTTCACACACATGCTATATGCTATATGCTATACACATGCCAATCGGCACAGCCATGACAATTAATTGCTACTCGGGCAGCGGTATAAATGATACCCCACCGAAGGTATGACGGGTTTAAAGGGAATTCTGGTTAACTTCTCACCTGCAACAACGGATCGATAAACTGCATTAAATAGTTAGAGCGGCATAATTGATTCAGATGAGTGCTGAATGTGCGGCCACAAGATTTTTAATAAAACCACCCCCCTTGTATCAAATTTTCATGGTTGTCTAAATGCAAATGGGTTATTTGAGTCGGCGCAAATCGTTGAGGTGGCTAGAAATTCTAGCAAGTGCACTAACCACATATTGAGAAAAAAAAAGGAAAAAAAAAAAAACGAAAAAAAAAAATATAACCACATATGGGACAAAAATCGGTTTTCTCTGGTTTTTCCATTAGCGTGCAGCAACAACCTGCCATTCCACCTGGAAACTCAAGCTCCCAACCAGCCCATTCGATTCCCCTGCAAAACTTCGTCCTTGGCCTGACACCCAGCCAAGAGCCCCAGTTAAAAACACAAACACAAACACAAACAGCAATCACTAGGAATAATAATCAACGTTAAGACTTCACGATACTTATTACCCTTTCAGGACAACAAAAATGGTGTGCAAAAATTTGCTACAACTTGAAATGCGAATTTACACCCAAAAGCTTTTCAAGTTAAGAGTTATAAAATTGATTTAATTTCCAAATATCTCATTAAAATATTTCTATGAATTTCTTATAGCTTTTCAAGAAATCAAATTCGAATGTATGTTTAATTTTTATTATTTTTAATGAGTGCTAACTTGATGGTCTTCAAGAAATCTATATTAAGTGATTTTTTTTTATTATTCCCGAATAATCTAATCTCTGTGGAAATTCAGTTTGAGTGGCTAGCAATAGAGGGCCACAATTGTCCGTAAGTGGACCATAAATATATTCGTCACAAACTCAATTTCCGATATCGAAATTGGTAATAAAAAAAAAAAAACAAAAAAGTCATAAACATCATTGTATCAGACAATAAAATTATATCTTTGCAATTTTGTTATGGGTTGTTATGGGGATAACGAATTATTTTTTTCTAAAAATAACACAATTACATAAATTGTTTAAAAGGTAATGTCTTTCAAAATTTAGGCTGTTAAGGAATTAAAAAAAAAAAGAAGTTTGGAGATCGATGTTTTTTGGATACTATGTAAAACTTATTTGGAGTGATCATAGAATATTTTGGAACTTTTAAGAGAGTTAACAAAATGTAATGATATTTATGAATTTTGTATATTAATTTAGATAAAATGTATATATATTTATTTTATTTTTGAATAAAACCTTTTTTTATTTCATATTTTTTGGTAGTGCAGTAGACAGTGTAAATATTATTGACACGTGCATAGCTTTTTGGACAATCTGAAACCTTGGCGAGCAGTTGGCCAGAAGTGGATTGCTGGCACCTGCAGTCACTCCTTCGCAGTTGGGGCCTTGTTAATATTGATAGCCAATTAAAGTTGCATGTGTCGGTGACACAGTCGCTTTGGGACCTCAAGGGATTCATCCTTGTGAACAAGTCTTCCAGCCCAAAATACATTTTGCGCAGTGATAAGTCATTTATTTTGGTAACAACTTAGTTGGTGATACTGCAATTACTCATTTGACTGTCAGACCAAAGCAATGCATTATTTACCAGCAATTTGATTGGCCGCAGTCGAAAGTAACTTAACAGGTCTGGTGGGGGCGTAATGCCAGATTGCGATTAAGAAAATTGTTTAATTAAGTGGCTTCATTTGCATAAGGAATGAACGGCTTGTTACCAAGGCATTTAGGTTTAATACTGTTCTTTTGCACATGGGCCTTACAACAAATGAGTTCAGATTGTGGCAAAGCTAATGCCATTTAACTAACAATTTCAGTTAATCAGTTTACAACATAAAAATGACTCAAATTTCAAGGGGCTGCAAGGGTTAAGTATAACACCTTTAAATATACTTTTTTCATTAAACTCGTTGGTTTAAGGTGAATGACTTTAGTACATAAACGGGCTAAGGTTAAAAGTATAACCTTAAAAGATCACTTACAAATTAAACTTCTTAATTGCCGGATAATTAACTCAAAAACACTTAGAGTTACTTTGCAAACATCATTATGAAATTGTGTTTAACTAGAAAAACAATATATCAGTTACTTGTAACAAAATAATTTATAAAGAATCATTTCATAACTCACAAATTATAGTTTAAGAGTTAACCAACTCTTATTAATAACTCAACGTGTCTCACATATAACAAAAATTTTATTCTAGCATAGTGTTAGTAGGAAAACATTTGTAAAAAGCTTCATTCTTAATTTATATATTTTACTGTCAATCGATCAATTTAGACAACTTTGCGTATATTGGACCCTATTTGTGATCGTTTTGGGCTATGTGTTGATTGACAGTCAGTCACTTAAGATCTTTATTGATATGCATGACTTATCTTTTTGCGCGAAATCAAAATGTTAGAATTTATATAAACATATAGAGAATTTCATTTAGGATTCGTTTCTTTTACCATCGTAATTGGCATGCATATGGGGTAATCTCTATTGTTTCTTATTGTCCATTCAGGATAAAAATAAACTATAAAAGATGGCTTTACAACAGTTTATTTCAAATGTGCATAGTTCTGTCCTGATGATCTAATACTTTTTTTTTTTTGCCATTCTGACTACTGAATCTCAAATCTAGCAAGTGAATATAATGATTTAATATAGATTTTGGCCTACTCACAGTAGATTGCGGACATCACAGGGTCGCGTTAGAAAGGCCGGGATGAGAACGATCGAGTTGAAGGATACGATGCCGTAGTACATCATAAATTTAAAGTAGTATCGGAATATGTGATTGGTCTCGTAGAGAAAAGGCAGCATCAGCAGCAGGAAAAGTCCCAGCAGCTCGAGAAACGAACTCATTGTGATCCCGATTGCGATATGCTGATCTTTGATTGTGTACGATTGTACGATTCAATTACTGTTTTCGATTTAGATCCGGATCGTGCTGGTATCACTCTGCCGACTTTCCTACCCCTTTCACTCTCTCTCTCTCTCTCTCTCTCTCTCTCTCTCTCCGCTCGTTGTCCTTCCCTGTATATCTCTATATTTTCCAAGTTCTCTGACTCCTCGGGTTAAGGCAGATTGCAGTCTTTTAGGTGAGAGTTGTGTGTGGTTGTGCTGCAAAAGGGAGAAAAAATAGCATGCAATTATATTAAAGTACAATAACTTTAAACATTTATATTGGCCATAATTGTTTATGTTTTTATAGATTAAAAAAAGGTGTACTTGGGGTATAATTATCTTGCTTCATGATATATACATATATACACCTTTTTAACTATTTTACAGTTCATTCTACTTAAATAAGACATCATGATAAAGACATTTTTTAAAATACAATTATAAGGAGGAGTACTATAGTTTCCATGGTAAATATATGTACATATGTATGATAATTTAATTATATGATTTAGCACGGTTAGCTTGAGTTAAAATCTCAAAGTTTAACTAATTGGAATGAATACAAATGCTAGTAAAGGGTTAATTTTTAAAGTCTTGCAAGCACCGCTCTTTTGTTATGGTTAACTTAATGAAGTGAAAAGGGAGATCTTGCGATTGCAGTGTGTTGCACGCTATATTTCCCATTCCTTCATGACTTTTATTAATAATTTTTCTTTTATATTCAACTTTTAACATGACAATTCTGAGAGTGCAACAAACCACAACATTACACACACTCGCACACACATATGCACATGTACACAGCAGCCCACAAGAGAGAGAAAAAAATCAATTAGATTTGCGCCCAGCGGTGAAGAACGAAACAAAACAAAGGGAAAAAGCAAGGAAAGGAAATTTAACTTTTTCCTATGTGCTTTTTATATTTTTTATATGCGCTTTATGGATATCAATTAATCAGTTATTAAGTTTCGATTTCAGTGCTTAATAAATTATGAATTTTGCGGCAAACTGTTTGTTTGCCTATTGTACATCCTCTCAGTTTTATTCAGTTTTCTCTTTTTCTTTATATTTGAAATACATGGGCATTTACAAATTATTTTTTATCAATAAATATTTAAGTTTAAAATAAAAAATATCGCTGTTTGGTAATGGTAATGGGTAATGGTCCGTCAAGGGTTAATTTTTTTTTCTAAACACATCTGGCACAAAACAAAATAAGAAATAAATGGTTATAGGGGGTTGCACACAGAGAGCGGGCGAAAAAGAGAGAGAGAGAGAGAGAGAACAGCAGACACGCCAAGGATAATAGTAAAAAAAAAAAAAAAAAAAAAAACAAAGAAATTCACTGAGAACACACATATTCCACACACACGCGCACCCGAATTAAACATAAATAAATATATTTTGCGACAGCTTTACAATTAAATTAAACATAATACAATTGCTGCAGTGAGAAATTTACTAGCACAACAATAAGACACAAAAACTAAGTTCTCACTTTTTTTGTTGGTGTTTTAGTTGGCTGGTTTTCGTTTTCGTTGTTTTTTTTTTATTTTTTTTTTTAGATTTTAATAAAAGGGACTACTTTTTTATTTTATGTTGCTGTTGGTGTTGTTGCGGCGACGACACAACGCCGACGTCAACGGAGACGCGAAAACGTTGCGTTTTTGCGAGAATATCCGTTACCGGCGTTCGCGCGACTTTCTGAGCAAATGAGGCGAAATTCGAAAATACAAAACAAAAAAACCAGGGCGAAGGCGAAAAGCGTGCGGCAAAAACAGTGGCGTACCCCGAAACTCGACGGGGGTTTTTAAATTTTATTTTGTGACAATTAATGTCGTTGTAAATGGGTAACAGGGTGCTGGAAATAAGACCCTATTCAAAATCATTGTTATAATTGTCATAATTTTGGTACCCTGTTTTTTTTTGTTTCTTGGGACTTATTGTTTTGGGGACTTATTTCACAGAGACTGAGTAAAAAAAAAAATTTTTTTTAATATCAAGTTTATATCTAGTCAGAAAAAAATTATAAATACCATTGTACCTATGCATACGCCACTGGGCGAAAACAACGCTGAGCTGCGCTGCCGATGAAACGCGGCGACTTCGATTCTAAACAGAGCGGCGACGCAGGTTCGTTGAGCTTGTGACGTCACTTGGTATGAGGACGATAACCACCGCGCACAGCCTTCGCTTTCGATAACTATCGTATGGCAGAAAATACTTTAAAAACTATGAAAATATGGATGCCCAAAACTATACATTCCAACTTAGAAACATTTAAAATTTTATTGTTAAAACAATTAGTATTTTTTAAAAGTAAGTCTTATGTAGAAAATCAAAACATAATTGCGAAAGAAACAATATTGTAACTTAATTGAAAATTGTTATGCAAAGTTTGCTTAATTTTAATATGCTTAAAAATAAATCATGTTTCTTGAGTTTTTGTTTTGAATTCGAAACACTTACAGACACTTGATTGTTATCGGTGCACAGGTGCTTGTCTACAATAATACATAACTATATTGGTTCGTACCTATGCTTAATAATTTACAAATTGTAAAATAGATTGGGACTATACTTAAGCTGATTTTGGAGCAGAATAAAATAATTTAACAGTTAAGAAAATATTAGTTTATGTAACATAAAAAAATGTTATTAATTATTCAGATTAAAAATGTTCATTTTATTAAGTTTAATGTATTAAACCAGTAAAGTCAATACATTTTTAAAATGTTACATGTGTTTCGGAATGTAAGGGACAAAATTAATGAATATCGAACTTGAAAAACGTAATTTCTAAAAAAAAAAGTAAATCGAAACTTGTAATAAATTAGACCTCTAAATTGTTAATTTTTTATATTAAAAAATAGGTATGTATTAATTTAAAAATCTATAAACAAGGCAATGCTTTGTCTCATTTCACTTCCTCTTCCTGAAACCCACAACACAAAATTGAATTTCTTCTGGAATACACTTGGCAGGATTTCTGACAGCTCGCAAGTTATGATTTAGATGCGATTTTTTGCACTTGGCAACCAATGGAAATGCGAAATCGCCCTTTAACCTGCGGAAAACGTGTGTCTGGCAACGGGGAACCGTTTTTATTTTTACAAAGACAGTCTTGAACAAAACAAAAACAAAAATATTTTTGTTTACATTTGATTTTGTTATCACTGAACGATCCGTGTGGGGTCATGATGGATGATGGACGCAAAACTATAACAAAACCAAGTATACAATAAATTATGATTAAAGAGTATAAAATGTAAATGAAATATTCCTTAGTTTTGGATTTATGTTCATAACATCTCAAGGTTTCAAATATTAAATCTTAATATTTACTTTTTGTAGCTTTTGTCATTTTACATTTCTCAAAAATTATATATACTTTTTCTATGTTTTATACATTTCATCGATAAGTAAATAACAATTTAATTTTATTTTGTCTTGAAAATATGTTAACTGTTATTTATTTCATTACTATCGATATTTGTTTTTGAAAAGTGTTCCTTTTAAAATACGCTTAAAATTCGTTAGTCACGGAAAGTAAGCAAAAAAAGAAAAGATATCGATACCTAGAAAGATACGATATCGATAGGGCATCGCACAGATGTTTAGGATACACCACTAATCGCCGAACTTTTGCAACACTTGAATATTCGACGCCGTTTACAAAATCTTTAAACAGGAAAAGCCAAATCTTTAATCGATCAGGAGTCCCGAAAATCGTATCCGTCCGCTCGAGGTAAATGTTGAGGAAATTTAAAAGAAAATGGCATTTTGCCAATCGAAGCGAAACAACCTGATTACTAACAACCTGTTAAACTTTTTCCGAAAACAAAAAAAAAAAAATAACAGCAGTTCGGGATTTCAGAAACTTTGGAGGAATCCTATGATGTCTATGTGCGGTAATTAAATAAACAATTCTTGATATATGTGCGCACGTATCATGAAACGCAGGCGGGCAATTTCGGCGGCGGAGGATCAGGCAGTGGAGCAGGCAGGGGAGGAGGTGGCACAACGTCCTCAGCAAGCACAACAACAATATGCTGACTCTCGGTTCATCCAAAATCCAGCGGTTCGTCGGATTTCCCTGAACGATTATATGGTCATGTCGCGCCAATTGCAGATCAATCGCGTTGACCAGAACCATCAGAATAAGGGGGTGGCCAAGATGCTGGTTCTCAAGGAGAATGGTCCGCAAAAGATCATCACCATGCAGCTGCCCAGTGTATCGTTCACGGTACAGGATATCCTACAGCAGGTGGGCTATGAATTCGATGAGAACACCACCATCGATTGCCTAGAGAATCCCTCTGGTAATATCCATGTGGTGGTATCCGTTGGCTTCACCATGACAGCCACCGCTGCCGAGATGGCTGCCCATGCGGATGAGATTAGCAGAGAGCAGCAAGCTGCCACCAATAGGGTGGAGAAATCCAAGGAACCATCAGCTGATCCAAAGGATGCCCATCAGTCGCTGGAGCCTGGAGGAGTTGGATATGCCGGCAAGCGGCAACAACTTGAGGAGAACAACTCTACCACTGGTGGTCGATCAGATGCTTCTCCAAGAAACCAGAGCTCAACACCCCCAAAGAAATTAAGCCACAACAGCGACTCCAAGTCAAAGTCTGCAACGCAAGCTGTGCAATTTCTGTCTGCTGGCAGTTGTAGTTCGAGTAGAGCTCCAATTTCAATATCAGAAATGGCAGAGCAAAGACGTTTACGCAGGAATCGCAGGTATTTGCCGAGCCGCTACTTTGACGATGACGATGATGAGGATGAGGATGAGGATGGTGTGGTGCTCCTAAGCAGCGACGAGGATGAGGAGACCAACATCGACGAAGGGCAAATGGAGAGCAATGCCGCCGATGCGGAGAGACTGAAAATGATGGAAGAGCCGACGCTGGATAAGAAACCGCGTCAGTTGTCCGCCGACGAGGATCTAACTTTACTGATCTATCCGCCCAAGGGAACGGGCGGCCTGTGCATCACCATGAAGGATTATGTGTGCCTCAGCAGTGGCAACTATTTAAATGACATTATCATAGATTTTTATCTGCTTTGGCTTAAGAATACGGTAATACCGGAGGCTCAACGCGACAGGACACATATATTTAGCACATTTTTCCACAAGAGATTGACGACTTTGACGCGTCCAATGAACATGAAACAGACGGCCGCCCAAAAGCGTCACGAAAGGGTGCAAAAATGGACACGAACCGTGGACATTTTTGATAAGGATTTCATAATAATACCGTTTAACCATCAGGCCCATTGGATTCTGGCAATTATATGCTTTCCCAGTCTTAGGGGTTCGGTGCCATATGATGGTCATCATGGTGATGGTGGTGATGGCAGCGGTGGCGATGGTGGAGGTGAGAATGAGAATGAAGATTTGACCGATGATAAACCGGTGAAGCAACCTGTGATCCTCATCTTTGACTCGTTGGCGGGCACATCACGTAATCGTGTGATAGCCATACTGCGTGATTATCTCACCTGCGAGTATCAGGCTAAGAAGCCGAATGCGCAGGCGTACGTCTTCAACAAGGATAACATGCCCGGGCATCGTGTCGAGGTGCCGCAACAGGAGAATCTCACCGATTGTGGCCTCTATCTGCTGCAGTATGTGGAGCAATTCTTTACCAAGCCGATCCGAGACTACCGACTGCCCATCAAGGGGCTGAGCAACTGGTTCGATCTGCTAACGGTCACCAAGAAACGCGAGGATATTGCCAATCTTATCCAGCGTCTGATGGACGAGGGTAATCAACAGCAGCAGCAACAACAGCGGCGCATTCTGCCCGTGATCGAATTTCCCACACTTAATGGTCAAATGGTTGAGAACTGAGGTCGTAAAGGATAATTTTGTTCAACAACACAAAAAGGGTATAAAAAAAGATAGCCACAAATTGTTTGTATAAATTCTTAAACTCACCGAGGCATTGTTTTTAGCTTTTATCAAAATTTGTAAATTGTTAAACTCCCCAAGCGCATTACTTACCTATCAGCATTATACTCGACTTAAAATTACCCTTTACGACTGCGTTTCCAATCGTCACAATAAAAGTGCAGTAAAATAGAAGAAGAGAAAAGGGTTCAATCATTAGGAGCAAAATGGTAACCAACAAAGGAATAGGCTAACCAAAAACAGGTAATGCTAGCCAAAAAGAGAAAATGGTCAACCGGCCACCGAGTTGCGTGGTACATATATAAAAAACAAAGCTTTACACATTACCAAAATTAATTTAATTAGCTAGCAACTTGTAGATTGCAGGGTATTACCGATCAGCATTATACTTGTTTCTAAGCCCACATGCATACACGCACACTTACATACACACACACACACACACATAGATTAATGCTTATACGATCTCTGTGTGTATTGGTGGGGGTTCGGCGATAAGAAAATCAAGCCATAAAGTCGCGCCGGCGATTCTGTTGACGTTCAGTTGCTTTGAAGCGATTCTTCCAATCAGACGAACGCCGGAGTTTGCCGAGTGAAAACACAATCAAAAAAGTAACCAAGTAAAAAGGGAGTGAGAAGAGAGAGAGAGAGAGAGGTGAAGCAAAGCAAAGCAAAGCAAAAAGCACAAACGAATACCAAGCACAAGGCAAAGCGCGCAACACGTGAAACAGCAGACGCCAATTGATTTTAATTTCGAGATGTCCACCGCAACCACAACAACCACATCCAGTAAGTACATACATACATATATCCAGATCTTGAGTTTTGTCAAATAAACAAAATGGCAAACATAGCCGTAAGCAATATATCAAGTTTACCTTATTCCAGTGAATTCTAAAAGTAAATATTAAAAACTACAAACAGAAGTCCTTAATAGAACTACATATTACATATTACTCTGTAATATTGTCTGATTTTCCAAGTTTAAAAACGTTTACATTTTGAATAACTAATATTTTCAATAACAAGTTCATGCTCAAACTTAAGGAATCACAAATTATATATTTTTCGATAATAAAAATAAATAATTGACGCTAAGGTTATATTGAGAACTTCTGTGTATATATTTATTTTATTTTTTTTTATTGTTCATTCCATTTTCAAGTTCCAAAAACATATTTCCCTAAAAATTATTGATATTAATTAGAGATAAACTTATATAAAATGAATAATAATTCAAAAAATAAAAGTTAGTGGATTCTTCTTAATTTGTTATTTTACAAAAATAAGTTTTAGTCCATGAAAAATAAAAAATGTATGTTTTCTATAATGATGTTGATAACGATCTGTTATTTTGTAAACAAAAATACTATTGACCTGTTAATCTTAAGATGATAATTTAGGAAATCGAAAGGTCGGAAGGTACAAACCAAAAAAACAAACAATACATTAACAATATAGTAATATTGAAACGATTACAGTTTTTACTTAAATCTCATTTTAAAACATTAGTTGTGCCCTTGAATTAATATATTAAAAAATTCGCACAGTTGATGGATACAAGCTGGGAAAGGTCCTCATCGAGGGCAAAACCAAGCAGGTCTACGACCTTCCCGAGCATCCAGGCCTATGTCTGCTCTTCAGCAAGGATCGCATCACTGCGGGAGATGGCGTCAAGGCCCACGATCTGGCGGGCAAGGCGGAGATCTCCAACACCACCAACGGCCAGGTTTTCCGATTACTCAACGAGGCCGGTGAGTATACTTACATACAAATACATATATATAGTCGATGACTATAAAGTTTACCTATTCAAAGTTCACATTTAAATAGGAAAAATTAAATTTTTAGTTCATTTTTTAGTTCTAAAACTACCATTTAAAATATTTTAATATTTAAATAAATAAATATATTTCCATAAAATGCAGTAGTAAATCCGAATTCTTTAATAGGGAAATCGATAATTGTTATTTTTTTCTACATAAATGAAACAATTTTGTAGAATTATTATTTCCAAAAGTCGACTTTCTTAAAATGTATATATTGAAATTAAGGCAAATTTATTTGTTTCACTTTTAAAGATGATTTTAAATTAAATTTAGTAAGCATTAACTTCAATGTGTTGCTACAACCTTAGTAAAATATTTATGCTATTATGGCAACGAATTTATTCACAGCTTTTATTGTTTTCTAAAAACATTAACATTAAATTGATTTTAAAAAATTGCTAAGCCAAGCCTGATTTGTCAGGCTATTACATTTGTTGTATTTTTCTTAAGGAAATTGTATATGTCTGTATCTGATAAGCCTACCAAGTTAGTGGCCTAAAAACAGTAGAATAATAATGTATTGTACCTTTAATTTCACCAGGAATTCGCACCGCCTATGTGAAACAGTGCGGCGCCAAGGCTTTCATCGCCCGCAAGTGCCAGATGATACCCATCGAGTGGGTGACGCGACGCCTGGCCACCGGATCGTTCCTTAAGCGAAATGTCGGAGTGCCCGAGGGATACAGGTTGGTATGGCAACAGTTGGTGGACATTTCTAACTGGGGTTATCATCCAAAACGATCCGATCCGATCCGAAACGAGCCGATTCGATTCGATTCGATTCGATTCGATCTCTCTTATCTGAACACACTTGCGGTAAACAAATTTAACTGCAATCCGATGCACTGAGGCAGGGTCAACATTCGCTGATAAGCCCAGATAGAGATATTCTCCTCACCCCACCCCCCCCAAACCCCTCCCCCTCGCAACAAAACATTGCTAGAGTCATCGAAATCTGTAACACAAGCCGGACTTTCGTCAAAGCATCGCCGATCTGCGATCAAACCTTTGTCACTCGATGTCATTTCAAGGCACTGGACCTTTTTATGGCTTTATTCTTACCACCATTGCCAACAGCTCCGCCTTTATGAGATTGTCACATAAAGTGTTTGTGGGATGAAACTGACTTCGATTTGCTTTTATCGAAACTTGAACTAAATTATAATATTTTGTAGTCTTTTTCCTTGCAATACATTCAATTTGTCGTGTTAAAGAGATAAAAAAACTTAGTCATTAACAAAATGGGTAGCGATATCTATCAATGTTTATGAAAATTACAAATAATATTGAAAATATGTAACCTTGATTATTGACGCATACTTGTTTAATTTATTATTTAAATTTTTGCATGTAATAATATAGATATTTTACTTGGTTTTAAATTACTCTTTCTTTTTTTTATGATTTTATAATGACAAATATCATAAATATTTAAAAAAAGAACAAACTTATAATTGATAAAGGCAATCCCTTCACATTCACTTTTTTATTTGTAGTTATCTTCTTGTAAGAGAATTGATTTATTAATAAGTATTTTTGTGTTACTGGAAAAAAGCCCATAAATATAAATAAAATTCTATTTTTTAGATTCTCGCCGCCCAAGCAGGAGACGTTCTTTAAGGATGATGCAAACCACGATCCGCAGTGGAGCGAAGAGCAGATTGTATCGGCCAAATTCGACCTTAATGGCTTGTTAATCGGTGAGTCTTTTTATTCACTCCATACTTGAATATCAACTAACCAGCAGAAATCTTAACACAAAACAGGTCAAGATGAGGTTGACATAATGCGTAGAACCACTCTGCTCGTCTTTGAGATACTTGAGAGGGCGTGGCAGACAAAGAACTGCGCACTTATTGACATGAAAGTGGAGTTTGGTATATGCGATGATGGCAATATTGTGCTGGCCGATATTATTGACTCTGATTCGTGGCGCCTGTGGCCAGCCGGTGATAAGCGCTTGATGGTGGACAAACAGGTGTATCGCAATCTGGCATCCGTAACTGCTAACGATTTGGAAACGGTCAAGAGGAACTTTATCTGGGTGGCCGAACAACTGGCCGATATTGTACCCAAGAAGGATCACTTGGTGGTGATTTTAATGGGCAGCGCGTCAGACACTTCGCACAGCGAGAAGATAGCCACAAGCTGCCGATCCTTGGGTCTGAATGTGGAACTCCGGGTGAGTTCTGCCCACAAGGGACCGGAGGAGACGCTGCGCATTGTCCGGGAATACGAATCGGTGATGAGCAATCTTATCTTTGTGGCCGTGGCTGGACGATCGAATGGACTGGGACCCGTTGTTTCCGGCAGCACCAACTATCCGGTGATCAATTGTCCGCCAGTGAAATCGGACAATATGCAGGTGGACGTGTGGTCCAGCTTGAATCTGCCATCGGGCTTGGGCTGTGCCACGGTCCTCTATCCGGAGGCAGCTGCTCTGCATGCGGCCACTATCCTGGGACTTGGCAACTTTATGGTCTGGTCGAAATTGCGTGTCAAGGCGCTCAACAACTTTATCACCCTGAAGAAGGCCGATAAGGAACTGCGCGGAGTGCGAAATGCTTAGTTTTCTAATGGAGAACGGAGATCAACTGGTAGTCACCTGGAGATCCAATTGGATATCATCCGGAGCCATATAGAGCTGGTCCAAGGATCCTTTTAACAACATCATGCACAGATCGCTTCCTTTGTTGTTCCTTCTTCTCTCTTTGTTTTTTTTTTTTATTCTTTTTTATTTTTTTTTAGTATTAAGAAAGCATGATATGAATTAGTTGTACCCCGTTTTTAATAGGGTAACTCGAAATACCTAATAATAAATCGAAAACCTTAAATGTTAAAACTGTATCAATATTTTGTTGGTTAAGGGAATCATCTATAAATAAATGTTTGTAAAGATCGTTTGGGATATCTTGATAGATATATCGTAAAGCTAGTTAGTTTTATCTAGTTCTACACCAAGTTGGTTCCAAACTGGAACTCTGATTCATGTTTTTATCAGCTCCTTTATTATTTATGGTCTTGGAAAATCATTACATTTCGATTATCTCGTTTTCCCGCTACTTAGTGCATTTAATAAAAACGGTACAATTTTATTTTAAAAGTTAATTCAGGGAACTGCTTCGAGAAGTTATTTTCAAGGGATACCAATTAAAACAATTTAAGTTAAGTTGAATTTTTTTAATTGGCATACTTTCGGGCTGACTAGAGTATTAATATTTGCTCGAGTGGGTGACTAAGCTGTTGGCTGCAATTCCGTTGACGCACTAAATGAAGCCGTGGTCCTCCGCCTGCAATCAGGAAATAATGCCTTCTTTGGCCTTTGGCTTACCACAATTAGCGCGCTTTTTCTGCGCCACGTGCACAGATTAAATGTTAAATGAGCAGCTTATACAAGTAAAAAGTTTGACATACAGTTGATATCAATAAAACCGCAAATTAAATTGACATTGGTTAAAAATATATCTCATTAATTCAATATATAAAACCTTGTGTTATAAAGACGTGTGCTTTTATTTTAATTTAATTTAATCCTGAATAATGAAATAAATTATCTCGTTAAACTCATAGCAAAACTCCAAGTCGATTGACATTCAAACCTGGACTTCTTAAATTTTAGCCCATTTTCGCCAAAAAAAAAAAAAGAATACAAAAAAAATGGCAAAAAAAATAATGTGTGTCGAATAGTTATGGGCATGACTAGAACAGGTCATCATATACACAAAACAGTCTTTCTTTAGGCTGTGCGTCTAATTTTGGTAAATTTACAACCAAAATTCGCTAAAAAAAATCTTTTTTTTGTACCGTTTATCTTTTTGGTTGTCAAAAAGATCGGTACTTTTTGGAGATCATTAGATTAGGTCGGTAGCTGGATAAAAATAGACTTTCTTTTATTTGTGCGTCTTATTTTAACCAAATTACTGCCAAAAAAAAAACGTTTTATAAATTGTTTGTTTTTACCAAGAGTTATAATTCTGATTATAATCCTTTTATTAGTTTTAATGACTTAATTTGCATTACATTTTCTTGCCAAGAACTACTAAGCTTGTGACGCCAATTTCAAGTATAATAAGTACTTAGAAACGAGCTATATACTTACATATGTACATATGTATGTACATATATGAAACTTTCCCTGGTCAAAGGATCTCCGGTTGGCAAGACAAATTAACCAACCATACAAGGAAAATCCTATTGAAGATGGAGATGTGTAGAACCGGGGAAATATGTGCTAAAGTGCGCCGGCCAACCTCGGGTCAATTAATCATACTTTAGTGTTTAGCAGACACCACCACAAAAATACAAACACAAACACAAGCACAAGCAACGAAACAAATGCATGGAGCACAATTCATAATAATAACAATAATTTAGCATAAGAGAGAAAAACGGGTGGTTGGGGGGAAGCGAGACGGCGAATGTACACATTAAAAGTCAGGGTCAAAGTGTGGCCATTGTGTTTGCATCTCCCTCTGGCGCTCTGGTCTCCTCCCCCATTTCCCCCTTCCCCCATGCTCACAAGTGTCTGCGGTTGTTCGAAACAACAATAAACAAAAAGAAATATGAATGGCACAGCAAATGTAACAAAATATTAAGAAAAATAAAAAAAACCAAATAGGAGCCAAAGAAAACATCACCGAGCGACGCTCTTTGGAAATACCCTACTAGTACTTCAGTTTTGAACAATTATTGTTAAACTATCACATTTAACATCTGTATTAAATAAGTCAAGCGACTTATGTACATATGTATGTATTTGATTGTGTTACAAAATTGATCACTTCTTCTAGATAGCAAACTTTTTGTTGGGACTAACATACATACATACATATGTACATATATTTCGTACATTTTTGATTGCACCTTAAAAACAAAAAAAAACACATAAGAATTTGTGGGGAACCAAAAAATACTTCATTTATTAAATTTTTCTAGTTAATTTTTTTTTTGTTGAGCCTGCCCCTATCTTTAGCCACAATTCGTGCATGCCCTTTTCTTTTTGGGGTTAAAGTGAGTGAAACAACAATATTGGCGGCGACGTCGGGCCGCTGGGGTCGCAAGTACAACTACAACTGCAAATACAACGACAACAATGGCCGGCAATTGTTTAGCGACGTCGACGTCAATGACGCAGCGCTATGTTTGCGGTTGCTGTTGTTGCCTTTATTGCTGTTGTAGCTGTCTTCCTCTCCACCTCACCGCCTTTCCCCCCCCCATCTTCCGCTCTACCCCACAAAAGCCGCAATGGGTTTCTTTATTGTTTTCTTGTTTTCTGTTTGTCGATTCGGTTTTTTTTTCTTATTCTTCTTTTTAAGCTTTTTTTTTTTTGCACATAAAAACTGTTTTGTTACAAGCGAATGCCGATCGCAGTCGATCTATCTACACGTTTTCATTATCATTTTACTGTCTGCCTCTCACTCACTCCGCCAACCCGCTGCCGTCTCCCTCATTCCTCCAGCAATACAGTATTAATTCTATAATTTCAATTTAAGAAACATGCGTTTGTCAATAGTTTGTGTAAATAAAAGCAAAATATAAAATGAACACCCTTCAAGGTTTTAGATTTCGGATTCTAAAATCTAGAGGACTTAAAGCTGGACTCAAAGACGAATTTAATTTAACCTGTTTTATTTTATCTATAAAAACGTTTGTAACCATATTTTGTATTACATAATATTTCTAAATTGTTTATTTCTAGTTTATTTCTCGCCACGACACTTTTTATCTTTCACAGTTGAAGATTTCAGATTTCGAATTCTAAAATCTTTAAATTTATTCACAGTACCCAAAAATCTTTTTAATTAATTTAGTCTTTTCTGCAACTTTTTTTTATACAAAAGCTGTGTGAGTTTGCCTTTAAAAGGCTTGACTGTAACCATTTGGCGAGGCAACTTTTTCAACTTGTTGCTAAAAATATGCAAGACAGTAAAAGGAAACCGGTTCCCCTCTTATACATTCTTATATTTATGTATGTATATGTGGATATGTCTATATATACATAACTGGTTGTTGCTGGGTGCCGAGCCACTGACCGGAGGGGTGGATATGAAAGGGGGTTTCGGGAAAGGGGTACTGGGCGGTGAAACTGGAACTGTGACTTGATTATTCAGTCGGCCCAAGAAGCAAACCGATCCGTGCACAAATAAAGCCGAGGAAAAATAAAGAAAAACAACAGAGGGACAACAACATGCAAAACGCCAACACGTAATACAAGATCGTAAAGCGGTTGCCATAAAGAGAGGGGTGGCGAAAGGAGGTGGGGATGGATGGGCAGCATCGGTTACGCGCGCAAAACCGGCAATCGGATGGGACCATCGGCCCCGGGTAAAGTGCACTTTCCTTGCAAATATAAAAGTTTTTATTTCATAAATAAAAACTTAATCTTTTTCAAATTTTAATAGAAAATCGAGTTAGCAAGCGAAGGTCTTGATGAGTACGGATCATTTGTTAGTTAATTAAATGTTCCCTCATTGATAAATTCGATACAGAAAATTCAATTTGAAGACGTTTATAGATAGTCATACATACATTTGTATCTTGATCAAGTTGGTACAATATTACTGGTACCCACTGTACCTTATTGTTGTTGTAACAATGTCGATTGTTGTTCTAGTTGTCGTTGTTGTTTGTATTGCTGTTGTTGTCACCGCAAGTTGCGCTACTTTTCGCTTATACGGCTTCTCTGTCTCCCTTACTCTCCCTCTCCCTCATTTTTTTCATTTGCTTCATTCTTTCTTTTTGTTGTTTCTTCTCGCGCTTTCCGCTTATCTCTTGCAATGTCACCCACCAGAAAAGCCAGTTGTTGTAGATTCAGGTTAGGTTTATTGCTCTCCCTCCTCTTTCTACATCCCCCCGTAACGCCCATTTTATTTTTTTTTCCTCCTCTCTCTTTCTCTTTCTCTCCCTTTCTCGCGGCACCCATCTTTGTTGATATGGCTTAACTGTGAATTGGCCGAGCGGCGAACAAAGATCACATCAACTTTAATTGTTGGTTAAAGCAAAAAAAAAAAGGGGAGAGGAATAAAACGGGAGGTAGGACAAGTGATAAGCCAAAATTAAAAACGAGCGCGATAATACAAAATCTAAATAAAAACACATCAACAAAAATTAACAACAACTCTCGAAACGAACAGACATGTGTTTAAGTAGGGGATTCGGGGGCATTACGGCGGGTTATGCGGGGTCTATAAATTTGAAATAGGGGAATGAGGAGGCGGGGTTATGACACAGGGGCGAATGATCGCATTCATTGCGGTTGGGGGAATCACGTTTCCACCTTATCTACGGAACCTGGCACCGATTGCAACATCATTTATTTGGACGATTTGTAAGTCACACTATTCAATGCAAATATTCTATAGTATAGGTTTAGTAGACTCACTTATGATACTTTTATGTACATATGTTCTTACATACATAAATATGTACCATTTATTTCTTATTTTCCAATATCAAAACCCCAGTACCCCAAATGTATCTTTTGAATAACAAATAAGAAAAGAATCCCATTTTAAGGTTGGTTCCAATTCCACAAATCTAATTAGAGTATAGCGATACACAATCTTAATAGGAATATTCACACTTTTTGTGTGTGTATACATACATATTTAGTTCTTAAAAATACTTATTTTCAGCAAGGTAAAGATCTTTTTTTGGGCACTCAAAACAAACATATCCAAACCTTTATGGGGTTGCTCACGTTATTTTAAATCTTCTAGGCCGTTTTGAGAAAACAAATTGCACAGGAGGACATGAGATAACAGAGATATGTACATATGTATGTAAGCTTCGCAGGATGACGTCAAAGGAAGCTGGCTGGTAACACCCCTCTTTTTACTTGAAGCCGTGAACTACTGAATTCGATAAAAGTAAAACCAAACACAACTTCTTAACAATTCAATAGTTTCCCTAAATACATACATATGTGCATATGTATGTATCTATTGCTTAAGAACACATCAAATACATTAAAATTATGTTCAAATATTCCGTTTTTGGTAGTTGAAAGAGCTTTTCAATATCGACCTAGCTCCTTTATAACATAATTATCACTAGCAACGGTCGAATTCCCCCTCTTAAACATTGCACAGCTTTCCTTGCTTTAAATTACTAACCCTAACCTATACAAACCTTACCTAAATCGCTCACGTTATTTTGACACGCTCATGTGGTTTCGAACCAAAATCGCAGGGTAAGGACACGGGGGCCTGCAGATATGGAGGTTTATCCAGATTCACAGCGAGCAGTCGAAGGGAATTACTGCCAGGTAACCAGAAAAAAAAACTTTTAGCACGTGGTGAGCCCCGCTGATGTTCGCTGAATCTTAAGCGGATTATGAGACGTTAACCCCCTACCCCCAAACTTTAAACCCCAAAGCTCCAACGTTGTCACATTGATTGACCCGTTTTTTGCCCCAACTCCCTTTTGCTTTAAGTCGCAGAATATTTTTTGCATGTCCAGCTTCGGGTTACGCCACTCCTCCGTCCCTAACCCTCCCAAACCCAAAACCCCCGAGAATTTCGCAGTCCACTCTGTGTACGCTATCATTTTATTTCGCTTTTTATATTATTATTCTTGTTATTTTTATTTCACCCTTGCTGGCGTAGATGCACCGCGAAAAAAAATCCGGTCATCCAAAAGTTTTTTGTTTTTGGAATTCCATTGAAACAATTTAGCTATAATTCGTATTTAAGATAATCACATTAATATTTTAAAAATGTGGTTTTTTCGATCCTAGGCTTATTAATTACATTTTTTTAAATCTATTTTTAATTCGTTGCTTAAATATGAACATATGTATACCATATTGAAGCGATGACTTAGTGACTTTTATTTTTGATTTTGTTTTCTCTCGGTGTGTCTATTTCTTTATTTATTTCGTTTGTTTCGTTTTTCGTTTCGCCTCGCGCCCTCTCGCTTGCACGCATCAGTCTCGCGTCTCAGCCGTCTGTCCCTTTCCTCTCTACCTTCTCCTCTTTCACTTCTCCTTCTTCATCTTCTTCGTGTGAGAATTTTGTGTGTATGTGTGTTGAAGTTGAATGTGCCGGTTTGTTCTGTTGGTTTGTTGTTGTTTTTGACGTTGGTCGTGTCATGTTGATTTGTGAGCTCTCCCTCTCCCTCTCTCTCCTTTTACGTCTGCGCTAGTTATTTGGTATGCTGTCGTGCTTCTTCTTGCTCTTCCACTTCTGCTTCATCTTCACACACACTCGCACACGTATATATGTATATACAGCAACTACGCAAACAACATCAAGACAATGCGCAGTAGATAACAAAAAGCCTTCTCCCGCTCCTTCCACCAGCGCATTTATATATAAATTACGTGTGTCTGTTTGTATCTATGGCAACACAGCGTGAGATATATAAGAGTACGTATGTAATGAATGTATGTACGATGTATCTACGAATGTGTGTGGTGCTTATGCAGACAGCTGCTTTGTGTGTCAAATTGTAGCGAAAAAAATTTAGTTTTTTTCGTACCAACGCGAAGAGGAAGAGCGCTTGAGTGGGAGGAGTAAAAGTAAATGGAGAGGGTGAAGAGTGAAGAGAAAAGAAGAGATGCAACCAAGCGGTAAACGACCCAGTGGCGAACTTGGCGAATTCAGCAAAATACAATAATTAAAATCAAACACTTTCAAACAATTTAATATTTAAACAGGATATTCATATAATATACACATACACAAGTAGATATTAGGTTAAATATAAAAGTACAATTTTTCTTTGCAGTGATTTTGTTTTATTTTATAAGATTATTGTAATTTTTTAAAAAATTAAACAGATTAGTCTTTTTATTTTGTCGAAATTAATTTCATACGTTATTCAAAAATTTAAATATCTTTAAATTTTTTTGTAATTGGAAGAAAATCGTGAAATTTCGCACAGGGCTGTCTGTGTTTTTCTAGCTATCTGCTCATTTTGCTCTTGCTCTTTGCTTTCTTCTCTTCTCACCCAGCCCCTGTTGCACAGTAGGCAATGATAAGATCAAAGACTGCAATTTGTTAAGGCCAACAATCGAACGTTTAGTTTTAAATGTATTAATGGCGCTAAAAGCCCCTAAAATATGTCTTAAAAAACAACAATGTATGTATTACATTAAGGTTCTATAATTCAATTCTGCTGCAAATGTTTCTAGATAAATAAATATTAAAAAAAAAATTGTTTCATAACGCTTGATATTTTTTGCACTACACTTTCATACCATGTTTGACCCATTGTGCGCTGTTGCCGTGCGGCGCTGCTCAAAAACAACAACAACTCCTTTCTGACGCACTGGCTTTCTCACATACTCACTCGCTTACTCACTCACCCGCCATCTGTCCATCTCACTCACGCGTGCGACTTTTCCTACTGTTTGTTTTTGTGTCTGCCGGCGTCGCTCGATGGAGACTGCGCGGTCGCAGCGCAGCGTTGCCAAACTTCATTTCGTTGTTTGTGTGTATGTTGTGTTTTATATCAGAAATTTCCATTTAATTTTTTATTTAGGTTTCTTTTTTTGCAACGCTTGCGTCGCTGTACATGTGTGTGTGTTTATTGGTATACAATTTTATGTGTGTACTTTAGTTACACTTTCAGCTGCTGCTTCCAAGCCTTTTTCCGTTTATTCTTTTTGTTTTTCTTTTGTGTGTTTTGGTTTCTACGTCACACCTTTTTCGGGCGAGAGAGAGAATTACTGCATAGGCCTGCGAAAATTGGCAGCAAAAATCTCAGACAGGGGTTGTTTTATTTTATTCCATTCTTACCCCCCATTTTTCGTCGACTTTTTCGCATAGCCACAGGTGTCGTTGCGCAGCGACGTCGACGCCGGCAGAGGCCCGGGCTGCGACAGAGTGTCATCTGTCAAGTTCAGCTCTCCAAAAAACATTTAATAAAATACAGAAAAAAAGAAAACTAACGCAACAAAAAAAAAACTTTGCACCTTTGTGCAAATTATTTTGTCGTCAAAAAGGCAACCTTAAATTAAGTCGCTGCCACAGTCGTCGCTTCTGCCGACGCCGACTGCGCCTGTTGAACGTGACTCATGGACCTAAAACTTAATTTTTTCTTTCAACTAAAGGTAGAGCCCATAAAACATAAATACATATAAATAAATACAAAAAAATAAATATCTAGTTTTTATGTATGTTTGCACAACAAAAAAAAACATTATGATGTAAACATGTGTTAAATTTAATTAGTGAAATTCAATTCTAAGCATTGACAATAATCATTAAAATCATTAGTGAATGAATAACAACCAACAAAATAATGGTTTATGAATAATGCATAAAAGCTTAGCTTTTTCGTTTCAATTTTACTTGATGACAGTGCCTCAGTCAAAATTTCAATTTTAGCACAGACATGTTATAATAATCAAATTAATTAATGACAAAGAAAAAAAAACTAATGTACATACATATGTACATATATAAGACAAATAGGAATCACAAAGTTGAGTTTAATGAAAAATGTATGCAAAATTAATGTTTCTTATTTTTGTTTTATTTGTTTATAAGTAGTTTGTGTACGTGTGTGCACTCAAACAAACTTTGCTCCCTACACTTGACCTTGTTTTGCCATTTTCATTTTGTGCCACAAACACACACAGATGCGATGGATTATTGCGGTTGACTACGACCAAAAACTGTTTGCCAGAGGAAAAGGGCGAAGGAGCGAGGGAAAAGAAGGAAAAGGGAAAGGAGGCAACATGTCACAACCAAAGACGCTGAGAAAGGCAAATGGCGACAAACATACATACATACTCATACATCACAGTGGACATCTAAACTTTTAGACATGCGAATTTTCCAGAAACTTCAAGTTTAATTTTTAATGCACTCGCCAAAAAGTCAATATAAAAAAAAATAATATGGTAATGGTATTAATATATACATATATAAACAAATAATATAAAAACTAAACCCAATTAAAAAAAACTAAGCTAAAAGAAAAATTGCAAACACTAAAAAAATTAGCTAGAAATATATGTATGTATGTACATATGTATGTATATTGTACAAGATAACAAATATTAGGAGGAAAACACCATTTATTAAACCGATCTCCATTTGGAAGTCTGTTAAACAAGTTGTACAAATTCTTCTCAGTGGGTTACATTAATATTTGAGTTCTGTGTGTGTGTGGAAAAGAAGGGGAAAAAAGGCGAATAAGCAGAGGCCAGTAATTTGGCTAAATTTGTTGTTTTTTTCTGAGACGGCATAAATGCCGGCTACAGCAACTGTAACGACATCAAAAGCGAAAAACCCAAAAGTTGAGCAGGCACCAAAAAAAGAAACAACTCCAACGGCGAAATGGCTACAGAGAACGAAAAATAGGTATGTATGTTATGATGGTTTATTTGATAATTTCACATATTTTGCTACAGCAATATAATCGAAATAATATCCATGAAACCAGTAAATAATTAAAATTTCTTGGGCATCAATGAGACCAGAACTCGGGCTTTTGTTACCAATCTGGCTTGAGCAAATGTTGATTTAATTTTGATTAATCTATGTATGTATGTATGTACATATAATTCGTTTATCAAAAAACGTGAAAACTAAATATATATTTTTTTATGTGTGCGAATCGGCTTGAAAAGCAAAAGGATAGAGGGAAAAAAGGGTGATGGTGAAGAAGAGGGTTACGAAGTAACGACCAACGGCAATAAAAATTCAGAGCAAGGCGAAACAAAATCAGGAAGGACAGGGCAACAAAGTTATTAATGACCGCTGCTGCGCTGCTTTTATATTTTCTTATTCGCTTTGGTTTTTATTTTTCTTGCAAATAAGCAAACAAATAAAAAACATCAGCAAAGTACGAAAAGAATGAAATGCCAAGAGAATAAGAGAAATGAAAACCTCCGCATGTGGAAGAAAAAACTTAAAGCATTTGCGAAAATAAAAAAGAACAGACGAAGGAACAAGAATAAGGATGAAACAGAGCCCAAATCACTAATCCGTAATCCTGGAGGAATGCGACCCGCACCTCTAATCGGTTTTCGAAAAAATTAACCCCTAGGATACAAATAAATACTTTACTCTACTATTTCGACTGTTTGATTATAATGCATATTAAACGATACATATATATTTTCAAAAGAATTTACATATTTACATATGTATGTAAAATATTTAAAGTTTTTTCAAAAACAAGTTATTTTTCTTAGTTCATAATTTTGATGGGAAATAAAAATAGGTTTTTCTAGTCTAAGTCTTTAAGCCTCACAAGGGTTAAGGTTAACACTTTAAAACCACAAAAAAGGTGTGAGCAAATGCAAATAACAGTTTAAAATTTTGATCAAGTTACAAACGTGCATAAATAACTGCACACAAACATGGGTGTAAAGATATGTATGTACATAAATACATACATATGTACCACATATGTATGTATGTACATACATACTTACATATATACCGAACCCATAAGACAACCCCATTCTCTTATTTTTCGCCCTTCTGTAATTTACCATCCACTACTCGAACCACCTTGCTCACAGACAGAAAAAAAGAAAAGCAAAAAGAAAGCAAAAAGCAAATAGAACCCGACCTAACCAAAAATCACACAGAAAAAACAGCTACAAACTAAAGTTACATACACAAATACATACATGTACATATATAAAAATTAATTTTCATGTGTTAAAATATTTTTTATATACAATATAAATATAGCTAAAAATCGAATGATAGTTTTCCTTTTTAATGTTTAAAGTGTGTTTAACACTAAAAATAAATAAATTTTCTTTTTTTCTGTGCAGCGATAATAGAGCAATGTGTAAAAGGGCAAGAGAGAACAGGCGATAGAATGTGCGAAAGAGAGAGGCGGCACTATAACGGCAATGGCAATGCCAACAAATTAAAGTTACTAAAAGAAAGAGAGAACACAGCAGCGACGCAAAGAAAGCTAAACTAAAAGAATAAAAGAATCGCAGTAAGCAGCGCAGCAGCAGAAAATCAGAAGTAGAAATGGAAAATGGAGAGAGAGGGAGTCTGAAAAAAGAAGAAGAGAGCGGGGGATCCGCATGCAGAACCACTCACCTCACTCAAATTAAAAATGAATAAAAACCGGTTCGGGTTATACAATTCTTTTCAGCTCCTTGGTTTTTTTTCCTACCCCCCTTTCTCTCTCTGTCTGTTTTTCGCAATTCGCTTTGCATTTGCCATTTTTGCATTTTTACAGGCGGCTAAAATGTCATTTTTCGGTTATTTATAAAGCTTAAGCTATGAAACAAAATATTTTTTATTTTAATTTCTGTACTGTATGTACTTGCCATCTCTTGAATTAAAAAGAAGTAATAAGTAAATAACCTGTTTAAGTTTTTAATGGTATGTACATATATTTATTATGCATTTCAGACGAATATTTGATACAAAACTTTTTTACATTTTTTATGTACATATATATATTAACATTAAAAAAGTTTTTTTTATTAAATAAAATTGCAATTGGAGTTGTGTTTATTATTTAGTTTATTAACAAGTAAACTTTTTGTATATTTTCTTGTTTTTGTCCGACATTCGTCTAGAAATTTAAAAAATATCGATTTTTTCTAGACCAGAATTCCCCCTTAAAACAGCAGTGTGCTAGTGGCGATAGTATTAAAATTCTGCCGACCGGTAAGTCAAAAATATTTTAAATATTCGATTATTCCGTAGAAAATGCAGCAAACTTGGCCAAAACTCCACGTAACTCTACTTTTGCCCATTGCTAAGCATATGAATTCGATAATTCGGGCCCTATTTTCCGTTCGGAATAAAGCGGGCCTCGAACGAAAGACGATTCATGCGGCCGTAAACCAATACTTCACTGATTATCCGTTCGGCGAAGAGTCGCTGATCCGATCGCATATGCCGGAAGTGGGTGGCCATCCGCCTACCGATCAGCTCGCATTCGTTGTCGCTATCGCTTTCAAGGCCCCTGTTATCTCTTTCTCTTTCCCGATCTCGGTTCCTACAATCTCTATCCGGGATCTCCTCCACTCTACGCTTCCTCGCTGTCTCGCCGTAATCGCTGTCATTGCTGCTGCGTCTTCGCCGGATCCGGATACGACGTCCGGTTTTGTCCGTACTTACTTCTCTGCCCACTAATTCCGAGCTGTTTCGTGGCAGAGGACTCATATTCTTGCTAATCCCCGAATATGATGGCTGATAGTCGTCTGGTTTGTGTTCCGATTTGAGGCGTGCCATCGACGTTACGGATTCGTGGTCAGGTTCTGGTTCCGGATCCGGATCCGCCTCGCCATCGCCCACAGCCTCGATACGTAGTACGTCCTCTTCAGTTGGAAAGGGCTCCGAAAAAATGTCATCGTCCTAAAAATACATTTAAATATCGAAATTTTACTAAACAAGAATTGGACAAAAGTTGCAGGACAACTATTTTGTATAATTACATATCTAATTATAAAATTATAAATATAACTATATTATTATATTATATTAAAAAAATTGATTATTACATAAGCATTGAATGATTAAAATAAAACGAAAAATCTTAAAAGTTTTGTAATTTTTTCATAATATCCTAAACTTTCCAAACTTTGGATAACTCACATCGCTGTCTATTTGATGGATCACGTGATCGTTATCGTTATCGTTATCGGACTCTTCGGTAAGATCGGCGTCCATGTTTGAGTGTCCTTCTTCACTTTCATGCTGCTGCATATACTCGGGGCTGTCTGGTTTTTGTTCATCTTGGTATACTGATATGTTTTCATAATCCCGTTCTTGATCCGCCGCCGCCACCGTCTCGTTGTCCAACTGGAGTTCCCCCGTTTCAAGTTCAAAAAGGAAATCGAGCTCTTTAAAGTACCAGAGCGAGGGCACATAGGCGTTATCACTTTCGAGTACCTTTCGGAGTTCGCGGCGGTACGATGTCCGGAAATTGTTTATCTTTCGTTTCAGGGTATGGATATTGGCGTACTGGTCGGAAACTCGCAATAGTTCCAAAAGGCGACCGTAGGATTCGTCCTTGAGCTTGCGATCCCGATACAGCTTGCTGCGCACTAGCCACAATTCGGGCATCGAGCGGTACATGCGAAAGAACTCACTCCAATATTCGATCGCTGTGTGACTATGCTGCGACATGTTGAACGGCTTGCTGACGGCTAACGACTGACTGACCGACCGACTAAATGTCCAATGTCGTACGACCGCGTTTGTCGTACGACCGCGGTCAAACCGCTTGAAACGAACACTTTGCCTAACAGTCAACCCCTTTCGACTTTACGACTTGTCTGTTATCCCTACACTAATCGCTTTTTGCCGATTCATAATTTGAAAATATTAAATATTATTAGGGTTCACAGTTGATGTTGTAAGTTTTAATAAGCCTTTCGACGTAAAAAGCTTAGTTCTTCTTATAATAGTAATAAATAATATACATATGTAATTTCGACTTATAGTAAATTCAGTTTTTTGTATAGCTTACATTTATGCTTGTCTCATCGGGGCTATCGTCCATACTCTCCGATTTTACCCTGACCGGCGATTGTATGTTGAGAACGGGCTTCAGAAAGTCCATTAGGTGGAACCACCAGAGACGCGGTTGGTAGCCATTTTCGGAGGCCTGTATTTTCTTGATCTCGCGACGATAGCAACATCTGAGGGAGTTTATCTTGCGTTTAACGTCCTGAACCGAACAGCCGCCGTTAACGCGTCGCAGGATTTTCAAAAGTTCCTGATAGCCTGGTTCCTTTTTTTGTTTTGATAGATAATCGGTACTACTGCTATCCCACAGGGCGGTAAAATGTCGATAACAACTGATGAACTCCTCCATAACCTCGGGCTCATCATATAAATTATTAGCGCCCATGGGCGACATTATTTTGCACGTTCGATTCGAACGACTGACTGTGAATGACAGAGTATGATGATGAAGGGATTGGTATGATGTTGCCGGCGTTGTGTATGATACGGTATGTCAAGCAAATACAACGTGTGTGAGCGGCCTTTATTCGTATTTTTCTCTCTCTCTCTCTCTCTCTCTCTCTCTCTCTCTCTCTTTCTCTCTCTACTTCTTACTCTCGCTCTTTGCTCCTGTTATTTATTTATGTTTGTTATAAAATGTCGCTGCTGCAGCAGTCGGTTTTTTTCCCAGGCGCTGTTGCCGATTTTCAATTCGCTCATGCTCGAACATGTTGCGACGTTGCCGCTTTTGTGTGTGGCTGTTATTTTTGCACTGAAAACTGGCAACGTTGCGGGGTGAGGAAAATGAAATGAACAAAAAAAAAAAAAACGCGCTTAGAAAAATGTTGCAAGTCTTCCGCCGGCCGGTTGCAAACAACAACACAAAAAGGGGGATAGAAAAGGAAAGGAAAAAGTTAAGAAATTGAGAGAGAGAAAATAAAGGGTAAAAGGGATTTGCTAGCAGACCTAATAAAAACAAAGTAAACCTACAACAAATATTAATAGACACGAATCATTTGCAAAAATGTACTCAAAATAAAATGTTTCGGCTCGATTATTTCATTTGGTTTATTTTAATATTATAATATTAGTGTATTCAATATTTAATAATTGAAATTAATTTTTTTTACTGCATTTGGCAGGAAAGTTAAGAATTAAAAATTACTAGCAGACAAAAAAAATTACACAAAAAAAATGTTTCCAATTAAATTATGTTTAATTTTTAAGCTGTCTAAGGTTCAACAGATTTTAAAATGAAATTGATTTGATTTTATAAGTCTAATGTTTGTTTACATCTAGAAAAAAAATTGTACATATGTACATATATGTATCGCCTAAACACAACACAGGCATTAACAATTATCAAAAAATACCTATCATAACAATATTAATTAAAAATATGAATATTATGAATATTATTTTTTTAAAGGAAAGATCAAGCAAAATATGGAATACACTGAAAGAAAGCAGACCCTTTTAACAAATTATCAAAAATCGCGACAAAAAAATTGGTTCGATGAGTGGAAGCCAACATGCAACCTGATTGAGTGACTGCAGGTAAATCGCACGTGTGTTCGGTTTTTTTTTTTTTAGGCCCGGCCTACGCTGGCCGTTGCCCTCTGCCAATCGCCCACCACCCCTCTCCCCATCTCCCACATGACCCCTCGTAACCCCGCCCCTTTTCAAACCGCCTGCGCTCAGCGCATTTCACTTTCACTGCAAATTGGCAGGCGACGAAAAAAAAAAACTGAAACGGAGGAAAAACAAAACACATGAACGCAGGCAAATGAAAATTATCGAAGTAATGGGGCAAGGGGGAAAAGGGCGGAAAAAATACGTAAGAATGAAAATTAAACCCATTGCAAGTGCTCATTTTTCAATTTATCAATCGTTTGTGCCTGGCGAAAAGGCTCGGGTTACAATTACTCAGTGAATCGTATTTCGGGGAACGTTTTAGTTAACAAAATATTTATATAAATATGTGAAACTAATACCACTTCGAAATGTAGTCCAGGAAATCCATTTAAATAAAAGTTCAGTTCTGTACAAGATATGTAGAAAAGCAACTATTTGAAGAAATGGTATTAAATCAAATTTAATGAAAATTCGTATCACCGCAAATATAAAATTGTAAAATAAAAAAATTTTCATAATAATAGTGTCATGTTTTTTTTAATTTAAACATACCACTTGAAGGTTTTATTGCTGGCCGTATTGCGTTCTTAAATTATTTTATATTATTTTCAATACCTGCACAATAGCTTTAAGAATTTTTTAAATATAACAATAACCATCGAAAGCTATTACGTTTATCCCCACATAAAAAAATAAATATATAAAGTATTTAAAAAAAAACAGAAATTTTTTAAGTCCTTATTTGGAGTTTTGCCTAAATATATTTTTTTAGTATTAATCAAGCTATTTAGTCGTTTGTCATTTAAAATATAATGTAATATAATAATGAAGAATGAAAATTTAGATTAATGCCAGTAATTCTCAAAAATCCCGCACTCTGTTCAATATTTTGGGCCGCCAGTGTAATGGTTCGACTTCGATGGTCTGTTCGCTTTGCAACGGTTGGCAGCGGCGCGAAACAGTTCAAAATGGTTCGAAGTGGTTTGATGCTCGACGTCGGCAAAAAGCGAACCAAAGCAACATCGCACTGCTATCTCTCTCTCGCGTTGGTTGTAATAAAACATAAAATAATATATAATTCCCCGGCATTTTAATAACATATTTTGCAATTACTTTTGAGACTCTTCTCAAGAAGTATTTGGTTGCTTGAGTTGTTGTTGGCAGTTCGAACCACCGAAAAACAGAAAACCGTTGAAACCGAAGACAAAAAAAAACGGTTGCCTCTGCCGCGGCCGCTGTGTCGCTGCCGACGTTGCTGCCGGCGTCGCCGTTTTCGAGTTGGCGCTGCGTTGTCGTTGTCGTTGTTCAATGGCTAAAAACTCGGGTGTGTGCTGCGCGCAGAGCATGTGAAAAATTGACAACGTTTGCGCCAGATAACATATACGTTGCGAATTTATTTATAACAAATTCACGAAAATTAACCGAGGTAAATGTGCAACGCAATTCGTTAAAAAAAAAAATATATATATATCAACATATGTATATTAAATATTCGTGCGGGCTTGTGTGAGTGTGTGTGTGTCGGTGTGCCAGCAAAAAAAAAGTCGTAAAGCCGTCAAATAAAGAGCTAAATAATAGAAATAATATAAAAATTGCGTCGCGATTTTTTTTGTTCTCACTCTCTCTCGTTCGTGCACTCCCTATTTCTAACTCGCTCGCTCTCTCATTAAAGTGTACAAATTTCTAAATGTCTTTGTGTGTGTGTGTGCTCTAATTTTATTTAATTCATTTAAAAAAAGAAGTCGCACGCACACACACACACAACACTGTAGAGAGATTATTTGTTAAACAACATCAACCGACCAAAAAAAAAACCAATTTTTTTGGGCATGACAACGCCCTGTGCTAAAAAAAAATTATACCGTTATTTGCTTTATACCCTCCCCTTCGCAAAAAATGATATATAATATATATATATATATGTATAAAAATATTTTTATAAGGTTAACTTTTTTTTATTGTTACTGAAAAAAGAAAAATCAATAGAAAATAAGATATCGCGTTATTTGTGCTGTACTACCAAATGAAATGAAATTTAAATTAAAGTTGAAAACTGATTTTCATGGATTCTCACGGATTTTTTCATCGCGGATTTAGCCATCATCCGTCGTCAACCGGGTAAGTTCTTTAACAAATTAAACCATGTGTTGAAACAGCGTTAAATTAGAAATTTTAAAAAGCATTTCCATAAAACAAATTTCTTTGACAACTCTTAGTGGTATGAATGGTTAAAAAGTGTACCATGAGGTTTATGTATGACTGAAATTTTAGACTATAATAGGTTTTCTCGAAACATGTAGTTGAATTAGCAAAACATCTGAACAAGATCGTATGTTTTGCCTAAAAGTTTTCACTCTTCAATTCGTAATTCATTGAAGACTGAACTGGACAAAAACAGACGAGGGATTTAAATTATATTAGGCTTGGAATTGATTTTTAAAGAGCTGTTTTTTTTTTTTTATAACGCGGTATACATCAGTAGAAAATCTTATGTGGTAAAATATACTGAAACAAATTAGTTTACCAAATAAAAAATGAGTTTTTGAAAATGAATGAATGAAACTTTGGTTGAATATGGAAAATAACCTTTTTTTTTAAATCCAAAATTCAACTAGATAACCCTGGTAAACATTTTTCCAATTGGATGTCGATCGTATTCATTGTACTTGAAAAATAATTATTTAAATTCTTTTAGTTCCCAAACAATATAATTATTAAAAAATTTTCTGGCGTTTTCTGCCTATAAGTTCGACAATGGCATAAATATTAAATATGGTTTATAAATTGTTCATAAAGAACAGTCAAGGCAATATTAATAGAGGGTTTAACATTAATAAAACTATTTTTAACCTAAATTGTAAAATGGAAATGTATTCAATCGAGTAACATTCAGTAATAAAATATTAGAGAATAAACTATTCAAGTTGGCTAAAAACAAATTACCTGTGCACATAGTTTAAAAATGTTAATTTGTATGTGGGAAGAACATTTAAAAAAGACCAGAATACTTGCATAATTATAAAAGCGATGTTTCTATTAATGTAGTTGAATTTAAATCAATTTCTAAGATTCAATGCAATTTTTTCTTATTGGATTGAGTATATTTTGACTTATTTCATTTTACTTTAAATATACGTTTGGGTTGTAACATCTTTCAAAAATACTTAATCTTAAATGGGATTCTACTGGCTTAAATGTAATGTTCTTCAACTCAACTTGATTTAAATTAAAATTTTTAAAATTTCAATTCCTAATGACATGTGTTCGTCTTTTTCCTCTTCTTCCACCCATACGTGTGGCGCCAAAAATAACAAGTTTTTTTTTTTCTTTTATATTATTGTGTCTATTTTTTGATGTTCTTCGGGGCTCCGCTTTATATGTGGTATATATTTCCATACATTTGTAGTTTTATTTATTTATACCTTTCTTGGCTTTGCTTTTGAGCACCTTCTATATATTCCAATCTCCCATTAGCATTTTAATTATGCAAATATTACTTGTGTTTTTTTTTTTGTTTTACGAATTTCTTTTCTCTGGTTTAAATGTGAATAGCTATACTATATATACATATGTACATTTTTGTATATAGATGAGATATACGTGGCCTGTGGTTTTTGTTGCTTGCTGTTTTTGTCTTTGCTTTCTGAAATTTTTTTCGTATAAGCCGCACGTAGAATTTCTTGTTTAACCGGTTTCTTTTTATTTTTTTTTTAGCTGGGCTTTACCATATTTTTTGTTGTTGCCACTCACTGATACTTAAATACACAAACAATTATATATACACAGTTGTGTTCAATATAATAGTAGTGTGGAACAATGAAAAAAGGCTTAAAGAAAGTACATACATATGTACTTCAAAAGTAAAATTGTTTTTTATTTTTCTATGAAAGCCAAGCGTACATTTAATTCAAACCAATAAAACTTAAATGGTTTTTGTAAGCTTTCAACAAAATGATAATCGATTAATTTGTAAATTTTGTATAACTGGACACAATAAATTAAACTTGAACCAAAAATCTGGTTCAAAATTTATTTTTATTTTTGGTTGCGTGCTATTATTTTAACTACAGTCGTGGGCTTAACGTTTAGATTTCCCTGTTGTTTTGCGCCTGATTGCCGTTTTCTTGTTCATTTAAATGCAATCGCAATCCGCATATTGATTTTTCCTCCTCCAGAAAGGGAAAAACAAAAAAAAAGTTGGTAAAATACAAAAAGTAAAGCAACAACAATTCAGCGAAAAGAAATACCCAACACACACGAAAAATAAAAAATTCACGTTCGAAGGAAGTTTGGCAACCTCGCTTTTTCGCTGATGGTAGAGGAAGATGCAGAACCAAACAAAAAATACAAAAATTAAATTAAATAAAAGAAAAGAAAAACAAAGAAAACCGTAGAAAACAAAAAGAGAAAATGAAACCATCGTCTTTGTGCTTAGGTATTCGCTTTAACCCTTTGTTGTTCATTTTTGTGTATTGTAGCTAATCAGTTGGTGGGAACAAATTAAAACAAATAATAATTTTAAAATATAATTTCGTCGGGCACTTAGAAAATGAAACTAGAAAAAAAATTAATAATAGAAAGATAAAGATAATAGAAAAATATAAACACACATGAAACAAAGTGCAACGCAAAAGTCGAAGTTTGTATCAATAATTTTAATTTTACCACGCCAGCAAATGTAGATCCATTCCTCCCTCCAATACATTTAAATCTAATTTTTGTCTATTTATTTTTTTCCCATATGAAAGTTCCTCTTATTATTATTCCATTGCAATCTTTGAACATGTGAAAGTAATTTAAAAAGCAACATTCTTTGCTTTTGTTCTGATCTCGCAATTTTCTTATCTCCCCTTCCTTCTGCCCCTTGTCATCCGTCCCTGTCCCCTTTTCTTGCTCTTTTCCACTATCTCCGCCTCTCGAATGTTCTTTAACCTGAAAAAGAAGAAAATAAAATGAGGCGAAAGGCCAAAAGAAACTGACTATACGGAACTGCAAATTTTTGAGAATCTTTAAAGATTTGTTTGCTGATTCTTCATCGTTTAAGTTTTATTTCAGTCCATCAATCATGCATCATATTCATTAGAAATACGTATGCAAAAATTGTAAATTGTATACATATGTACATATATACCGCATAAATAAATAAAAGGCGGTTTAGTTTTGTTACTTGGAAAAAATATTAGGATATGAAAAATAGGGTTGGAAATTTAAAAAAAAATAAATTACTGCATCCATACTTACTTTTTTATTTAATGCATACATACATACCATGGGTTAAATTAATTTTGAAAGAAAATCAAGGTGTTGGTTTTGGGTAATTAAATATTGCTTGAAAAGTTTTTAGGCGTGATAATTCAAAACACTCCTGTGATAATTTTCATCCAAATTTCAATGCATAATATAATGCTATATATGTACACATACATACGTACATACATATGTACATATGTAGTAAGAATCTTACGCAGATTTATTTTCGCAAAACTACAAAAATTAAGAAACCACATGTACGGCATGTGTGTTTAATATTGCAATATTTATTATTTATTTTTCGTTGCACTTTTTGAAGTTGCAACGTGCGTGTCTCATTGGGGGGATATTTTCGTGTTTTCGCCAAAACAAAAAAATATATATATACAACAATAAACATACAAGCAACCTACGGTGGAAACTTTTGGAGGTGGAAACACGTTTTTCCAGGCAAAAACAACATGCACAGTAGTAACTGATAAAGCACACGCACGCACCAAAACAACATGCACACTTGCAAGAAGAAAAATAAATATTATACAGCAGCGCATGAAAAAATAGTGCTTAAAATGTTAATTAATTCTTATTTTGAAACATATAATCGATTTTAAAACAAGTGTCCGTCTATAAATCGGCGAAGCAATTTTACAACGTATATATGTACGTATATAAGTATGTATGTACATATGTATGTACGTAATTTGCAATATAAAAAAATGTTTGCAATTCTATTTACGCACTTAATATTATTAAGTTACATATATTAAAATCAAAATAAAATTTTCGAGAAGAAATATTTGAAATTCTTGGCATATCTTATTTAAATGCAAGTATCTAGTCAATCTACATATGTACATACATACATACATATATCGAAATATGAAAATTTGTAAAAATAAACCACATTCTTAAAAACCTTCACTGTGTTTTTATACTTCCATACAAAATGCCAGAAAAAAGCCAGGCACACTAAATTAAAGCTCGAAACGAAACGAAAAATCAATACTTTACTTTGCCCAAAACACCGAAAAGTGGAAAGGAAACCGAAAAGGAAGGAGAAGAAGAGGAAGAGCCGGGCCTAAAGGCAGCGGCGTAGGCAGCGACGTCGGCAGCGGCGCTTATCTGAAATAAATTGCTTTCGGCCTACTCGTGATTCTTTTTTTTTGTGGTTCAGCT